TGAGTCATAATGCATGAATATCCAAACTCGCGTAGTCTAAACTTAACTCTAGATTATTGGAAATGCTAATACAAAAAATACTCGCCTTTTTAATCGATCTTCAAAGGACAAAATATATATGAAGGAAGAAATAATTTCAATAAAAATATTCTGAATCCTAATAAAATTCTCTGACAATGAGAATTCTCTAATTTCATTAAACACAAAATTATTTAAAAATCTCGCATACGCTTTAGCTTTTTTCAATTAGTAGATATAATATTTTAAAAATATAGTTCTTATTTAAATTTAGAATAAAAATCCTTATCAAAATTATGTTAGGATATTAATAAAATAAATCATAAAAATTCTTCTCTCATATATAATTGAAGCAATTCGTGTCTTAATTGTTAATTTATTAAATATGCGTGTGTATATATATATATATATATATATATATATATATATATACAAATATATAAAAAAATAAATTGATACAAAGGATATATATATATATATCCTACACTTATGAAACTCAAGATAATAGCATATTTGCATCGAGATCAGATTTCTTGCTAAGAGGAGTACTTGAGAAGTAATGTTACTGTATCACGGTGTATGCCCTCTTCATTCGTGTTTCATGTAGTTATGCTATATTGCGTTATTATCTTATTTCAAATTTAAGACTCCAGATCTTTTATTGCAATCGTTATAACGTCAAAAGCAAAATAATGTGAATTTTTTTGTAGTGATCATACGTCAAAATCAATCAGTTTTGTCATGATAATACTCGCGTAATTTGTAAAATATACTGACACTTTTTTATTCATAAATTAATACATAGCTGTAAATTTCAATCAGTTTTTATACGATTCAGTTTCATGAAATATATTGTAAAATATATGAAGAGTAAAAAATCATAGACATTTCTCAATTTTGGATATTCAAAAAGAAATGTTTAATATACATTTTATTAACGTATATTAATTATTAGGGATCTTAACTATTTTTATTGCACGTTTCTTCTTTATTAGATTTCCCATCTTAATTAAAGGAGGTGATATCATATCGGTAAACAGATAAACTGTCTAATTAATCAATATCATGTATTATTCATCAATTCAATTAACTCACTCGATCTTATTCAGGAAGGTAAACTACTTACATGTGAGTGCACGCATAAAACGTGATGAATTTCCTAGAACTTTAGCTAAATATAATAATTCGATATGACCTGTTCTTTCGTACCTTATATATTTCTATGTCATTTTTGTTTCGAGAACATTTGTCCGTTTTAGTCTCTTGTACATTTCCCATTCAAATATCGTTCTTATACAACGATAAATCGAGGGAATTCCAACTCTTTATCTTTGTACTTTAATATTAATTATTAATGCACGTATTTAACGTAACGGAGAGTTAAAATTAGACCAACTATAAATGTAACTAAACTCTGCTCAAGTAAATTTGCAAAGATTGATTGCAGAACAATTTTTCAATTGTTTCAATAAATTTATAGTAAAATTTAATGAAGATTGTGTGACATAAAACGACATGCATATTTTGTAACTGCAAATTTTTATCAAAAAACTTAATTAATATTTTCAATCGAGTTATATATCTTTTTACTTAATTTGGAGATATTAATATAATTAATCACGTTCTTTTAATCGTGAATGTATCTTCGCAGAATCTTTAGTATTATTATTAAAAAATACGCGATGCAGATAAAAAAACATTAAAAATTCCACACAATACGATTTTATTCCAGAGCATTAGAATAATGTAATTTTTAAATGTTAGAATATTATCTGGAAATAAAAAATATATTTTCTATTCAATTTGATAAAAAACACAATTTTGTAGATTTAGATCCATTCGCTTCAATAATTTTCAGAAAAATAGTTAAGCTATTACAGCAACGTTTTACGGTACCTAAATAAAAGGTTCTATTTTTTTCGGGGTTACTGCCCTTTTGTTTATTTCTCGATCGAGAAACTGTATTGTATTGTATATCGAACAATTCATGTCCCGTATTTTTGCACAATGTAGCTATTCGTCAACCTTAACATTTCGCGGCATTTAACCACTCGGATCCCCGATAAAATGACTCAGCTCTAGATTCGGAGTCGTGATGAAATCGTTCATGACATCTACAAAGAGGGCGACTCTGCCAATGCTAACCGATACAGAGGGACACATTAATCAAATTAGCTCATTAAGCTACCAACTGTACGATCATTCCTTGCTGAGGAGAAAAAAATATCTCCTCTGCAGTGAAAAAAAAACTTGACTATATCTTTCAACTAAATAAATATTATTTTATTTATTGAACATATAAAGATACCTAAATTAAATATAATATATTATAAATCTAACAAATGTATATTTGATTTAGATACTAATGTTCAGTTAACAAAATAGTAATTTACACTGTAAAAAAATATATAATATATTACACGAAAATATATGTAAAAGTACATAAATAACAAGTGTAAAATTACACAATAAATAATATAAATTTTTACCTTTTCATTATTTATCATGTAATTTTACATTTATTATTGTAATTTTACATATTTTTTTTTACAGAGTAGTTGAGAGAAGATTCAGTCAAATTAATAAATTTTTCAGTGTGCAAATTTCAATAGAGACAAGTTGAGAAATTCCTTCGCGATGGTGAAGTGCTGCTAGGCATATTTCAGATTTTCTTTTTGAAAAACACGCATATATCTCTCGGCGCCTGTCGGAGTTAACTCTCTCCCTTCCCTTGTGCAAGTTAACGTCGTTACGTGTATTCCTGAAATAGCGCATGCTGCGTAAACGATATACGCGGCATATATACGTTTTTCCTCCTCCTGCACATCTGTACTTTGAAAGAGCGCACGCACGCACGCACGCCACGCATTTCCGGTCAGCTTGTGACCGACGCATAACCGGAAAGCGGAAGTGGCCGGTAAATCGAGGAAACACGGCTACCTTCGCGAGGTTGTACCTGACGCGATTCCATTCGCGATCTGTCATTGTGTTCTGGCGCGACAGAAAGCACCGTTGTCCTCAGATAAGAGCAGGAAGTCAAATAGCAGTTCTATGACAAGTAATATTCAAAGTTACGTTACAAAGTATACATTATTTAAGTGTTTAAAGTTCAAGTGTTACTAAAAATAAATAAAAGAAAGCTTGTCAGATAGGAAAATATTATACAAATATTATTAGATTTTTAAGTAGACAATTCAGTTTAATCTGTAAAATATGATATTAAATATTTTAATGTTTCAGTTATTGGAGATTAAATATTACTGAGAAAGAGATCAAGGGCTTGAGTTACTATAAAAAAGAACTTGTTGGATGGGAAGATATTATTGTATTTATTAAATTTAATCTATGAATTATGACACAAGATATTTAATGTTTAAATTCTTGAGATTAGAAACTATTAAGAAAGATTAAAAATGTATTAAATAGACAATAAAATTGAATCTATAAAATATACGACACAAGATATTTTAATGTTTAGTAAGTTATTGAGATTAAAAATTATTGAAAAAGAAATTTTAAAGTCTTAAATATTACTAAAAAAAAATAAAGCTTAGAAATTAAATAAAATGGACAATAAATGTAATAAAATATAATTCAATTAATCATCGAAATTCTCTCTCATCGCACGACTCGGTAAAATTTTTCGAATGATGATTCTTACATAACGATTTACCTAGCAATGATAAAGCGATAAAACTGAATAGAAAAAATCAAGATTTTACGTAACGCAAAAACAAGTAAAAAAAAATGAGAATCTGCTATAAAAAATGATTGTTCAAATAAAACAGATGTTATCAATTTTTAATTAATCCTGATTAACTGATAATACTATCAATTTTTAATTAATGCTGAACGACTAAAGGGCTAATTCTTTCGTAAAGCACATTTCATACACATATATTCTGTGAAAAAAAAATATATATATATAATAATTCACAATCCGATCTCGTCTCGCCGAGGGTTTTCGAAGAGGAGACTCGTCACACGCATATCGCTACGATGAAATCGCGAAGCAGGTACAAGGACGAGTTTATCTCGCGCAATCGAAGCGCGAGATCGCTTTATTTGTCCTCCACGCCCATTGACATCAATTTAAAATTAAACGCGATACCGACATCGCTGACGGCGCTCGCGGTCCCATCGGGTGCAAAATATATCGAAAGTTCGTTTTGAAGAACGAAATTGAAGATACATAGAAAAAAAAAAAAATGACAAGACACGTATATATTTTTGTTCTTTTTATCTCGCCACGTTTACGAGCGAGTTACGTATTATAACGCGAGTTTGATTCTCTTCTCTGCGCGGCTCAATGGATCGCGCCGGGAATTAGGTCACCGGCAGATAGGTCGTCTTGACAGGTGAACAAAACCGAGCAGAGATCGGAGGGAGGGGAGATGGAGACCAAGCGGAAATTAAAGTTAACCGAGTACAACCTCATTCAGAAAGAGTAGCTACGAGAAGCCGATTGACGACGCCCTTCGATATCGTGATGTCACGCGACGTAGGATAAAAACCGAACAGACACGTCGCACGCGAAAGAAAGAGAGAGAAGGAGAGAAATTCTCCCTCCCCCCGATTTCTGCGGAGATGATTCGATCGCGCGTACAGGGGAATCGCGTTCCCCAGCAACTCGACGAAGGTGGCGGCGGTGGCGGCGGCAATCGATGCCGGCAGCGGGGTTCCACCGACGTCGGGGACGACGCCGCGGATCCGGGTGGACGCGAAAAAAAAAATATGTATATATATATATATACACTGTATTATTATTGACAGGAGACGAGCAGGTCGCGACGCGGCGCGGCGCGCGAGGTCGATAAATTTCGGCGTGACGTGACCCGTCACTTCGCCGCTGCACGACACTGTAGGGAGAAGCTAAGCGGCAACGCACGCCATTTTTATCCCGACAGAATATCAGCCACCCGTCACCGCGGCGGCGTTCTTTCGGCTGGTAGCGCGCTTTTTCTCATCTCGGAGTAACTCACCTTCGCGTAAGGACACCCCGTGGCACCGCTCCGTCCCGCAACTCGCATAAAAGGTCCCTCGCCCGGTGTACACAACAAGAAAAATCCACCAGATAACGATCCGACACCGAACGATCCACCACCCGTCCACACACTCGACCGGCGCGCAACCGACTGAGTGTACGCCGCGCGCACCTACGCCGCCGCAGCTAGTCCCTATGCGCAAAATGGCGGCGTCGCACTGCGCCGCGCAGGCGCAGAGCGCGCGGCACAACGCGCGGCGCGCCAATTTTTAATTATGGAAGAGTGTTGCGCTTGGATGAGTTTCAAATTAGTTGGATAAAGATGAGATATAAAGTAGGTTTTTTATTTTGGGTAAGATAAAGATAAGTTTGTTTTAAATATATAATCTTAGGTAAAAGATAAAATTATATGATGATTCATCTAGATAATTATTTTATGAAACTGCTTATGTAAAGTTATAAAAAAAATGTTAATTATAAACGGGATATAAAGATATATGTATTCGTATTTCGCTGGATAAAGATGAGATATAAAGTAGGTTTTATTTTGGGTAAGATAAAGATAAGTTTGTTTTAAATATATAATCTTAGGTAAAAGATAAAATTATATGATGATTCATCTAGATAATTATTTTTATGAAACTGCTTATGTAAAGTTATAAAAAAAATGTTAATTATAAACGGGATATAAAGATATATGTATTCGTATTTTTATTTATAAATTTTTGCCGCTTCTTACTGCTTAAGTTCGACTATTTAAGTATTTTTATGTGCTATATGATTCTAAACAAAAATGATCTAAAAATTATTCTTGATAATTTAGTAAAGGTAATACTTTTTTAATCTAAGATTCAGATATAGATAATACATGTTTTTATTATTTATATAAAGATAAGATAATACCAAAGTTTCATCTAGATGATTATCTATATAATTTTATTTAGATAAGAGCAAACATTAATTATGAAGCAATTAATCCATTTTTTAAATGCGAACACTGTTTATACACTGAAAAAAGTTATTAAATTAATTCATATTTATTTTAATACTGCCTAATCAATTATTTATTTAAAACAAATATCATAATTTGTTTTGAAAAGGATTTTGTTATATCAAATAAATATTTTTTACATCAAATCAATATTGTTAGTTTCAAATAAATAATTTATTCAGTATTGAAATAAGTACTTATTCGAATTTAATTACATTTTTTTCAGTGTAGAAAATTAACATAATTATAAAAATTACAAACTTTGATGATAAAAAAAAAGAATTTTATCTTTTCGGATAACAATCGTTGGACATATATATATATATATATATATATATATATATATATTTTTACAATTGAAAAAATATTCTAATACAATTCTCTCAAATATCACGATTATAAAAAAATTGTTTATCTGTCATTATTTATCTATTATCAATTTTTATGTTGGATATAACATTGTATATATTGTCGATGTATAATTTAAAATTTAATACTTTGCAAATTTTGAAATAAAAATAATCATCGTTATATATTATAATTTTTTTCGTATAACATGTAAATCTAGTATTAATCAATTTGAATAACAGAGATATATGGCAATATAATATCACTTTTGCAATGCTCGCAGAATTCTCATCTGTACTGTACTCACTTTATCTTATTCCAGGCGTAGGAATACAAGACGTCAGTGCTTATGACATCATCAGCAATCTTGTTTACTCGTCTTCTGGACCGCGGGCACGCCCTATCCTCCGTATTACTCGTACAGTACAAATTTCTCCTCGTTATAATTTATACAGATGCGTGTTGCACACATTACGCTTATCGTTATCACATATCATTAGCGATAAAAAATCAGCGGCACTTGTGCGAAAGGGCCACATTCCAATTTTGGAAGTTTTAGTTTCGAATATCAGGCGCGCGATTACGTAGCCAATCACATAGCTTCAGGATAAATAGATTTGTTCCTTGTCTAGCTGCACTGTCTCGCATCTCTTTTTCTTTTCTATCTCTTTGATACTTATATGCATACTTATTTTATTTTTTGAACGCACAGAAAGAGTGACTTAATTTTATAATTACAAAGAATTCAAAATAACAAATCGAATAACTTATACAAAAGATACTATGCGTTCTTAAAATTTATTCACTTTACAATTACTTTGCTGCAAAGCGTTTTATAAACGCAAATAGAATCACTTCGCTTTTATATTTTTTTATATTTATTTTTATATTTATTTCTTGTATACAAGATAAGAAGCTTAAAGCAAGAAATTGTAAAGTAGAGAGAGTTTTTTCTAATAGAGATAATTCCTGAATTTTCTGTATAATACACGTATTGAAATTTCATGTGCATATAAAAAAGCCTACATTTAATATATACAATCTTGGAGATGATATAATTATGATCATATAATATTGTGCAGCTTCGTTTTTTTTATCCTTTGCGATCTTGACAAGAATAATGTACTATATCACCATTCGGATACCTCGCAAAAGCACTGAGAAAACAAAGTTAATTAATATCATATAAATATAAGTTAAAATAATGATTTAAATTTTATATTTTGAATTATAAAAAAAATAAATTTATATATATATACACACACATACCTTTGGTTGCCAAAGCGTTTTTTACAAACTGGACATATATTAAACTCTGTCATGAGGACGCTCTGTGACTCGTAATGCATTCGTTGCTCTTGTACTTGTAAATGTTCCGCATAGAGCAGCCCTTTGAGAACCTGTGTTCTTCGCCTTGCATTTAAATTATTTTGTAAACTAACTTCCAAGAAATGTTTTATTCTACCTATAGGTACAGAATCCGGTAAAACTTTCAGAGCTTTCATGGGATTTATTTTTGATGCGTGTTCCTCTAATAATTGAAGAGCCATCTCTAGGTCTGGTTGTGCCGTTCTTTGAAATTCCGGATTACAACCTTGACAAGAAAATAATAATAAATATAATTGCATATATAAGTAAATTATATATAAACTCTTGTTTATAAATGAATATTTACCAGCCATTAAAACTCCTTCATTATCGGGTTTTAACAATTGTTGAATTAATAAAACATACACTTCGTCAACATTGTCCGTTTGTTGTTTTTCCGCACTATCTTGATCTTGAAATAAAATTTCCGATTATATAATCTTCATTTAAATATTTAATATATAAATGTTTTAAAATTTACTTACTTTGATATCTCGTATATACATTCTGACAATATTGTATCGCACGCGGTATGTCATTTAAAAGACTAATATATATCGATATAGCCTGTTGATGACGACCGAGTCGTCCAAGTATAATTGCACGTTCTTCAAACAAACAGTCAAATGGAAAATGGACCAATATCGTTTCAGGCGTGTAATATGCCGATTTCTCCAAGAAATGTTGCAATTTCTGTCGTATATGTTGCGAAGTTTCTTTCTCCGCTGGTGTTGCATTAGCATTCATGGAGGCTAAACATTTCTCTTTGTATTGATGTATCAAAACATTATGAAATAGTGGATTAGTGTCTTCCCAAACATGTACCACATGCTCCAGATATTGTATTACTAAGTCTTTATGGAACCGCAAAAGATAATCCAGTATTTTTGGTCTAGGTAAATGTTCGACTTCCTGTAAATTAACAGACCACATTGTTAAAAATAGTTTTGAATAAAATAATAAAAATCAAGAGAAATATAAACAGCACCTGTATATCTTCCATAAATATTCTGAGGCCTTGTTCAGGATCCTCCGTTAAAACCCATCCAGCAAATTTCAAAATTAGATCCATATGATCCTTGCCAAGATGTTGTAAATACTGTATAGTTCTCTCAGTGCCTTTCAGACTAGAATCGTTCTCTTTTGCATGCTTTTCCAAAAGTTCTAATGCTTTTTTATGTTGTCCTTTGGTTTGATACAATATAATGAGTTCTGGATATTTCTGATGCATTAACAAAGTTTTCTCAGCTTCTGCTAAGTGACAGTGATTTAATCTAAGTAAAGGTGCTACCAAAGCATCAGTGGTCTGAAACAAAATTCGTATTTAATATTTATTCTATGAGTAGCTTTTATGAGAATCTATTTGATATGTAAATTTTTATCTGTTTTTTATGTTTTTTACCTGTAAATAACACTTTAAAAGAGTAGTATCGATGATCTTCAGAAGTTGTTCCGTAGCTACTGCTGTTAGATTCTTTTCTCCATTTACTCCATTCTTTTCTTTACTAAGCTCTTTATCTTTCGCCATTAGTTTATGTCTAACATCTGTTAGAAAAACTATTAATGCACGTAAACCTTTTTCCAACTCATGATCTTGCAGTTTCGGCAAACTCGGTGTTGGTTCACTAGGTTCATTAGTGTTGGTTGATGGTGCTAAATCTGGGAATAATCTGATTACCTCATATGGATCGGTCCCGAGTTTTGAAAATAACTCCATTGCCTCTTTAAATTGCTTGTTGTAGAATAAGTAATGCGCATATAACGTTTGTATTTTATATGTCTGTTTAGCTTTCTCCTCATCTGTTATATCTGACAAATTCTGAAAAACAAATAAAATATAATTCACATTTTAATCATGTTAATAAATTATAAACTTATTGATATATAAGTATAATTAACATACAGTTAATTGTAATGCCAATTGAAATTGATTTTGTTCTAGCAATGTCCTAATCTGTAGAGTAACATCAATCGCTTTGATACACCAAATTTGACTAATGGATGCCACAAAGACTTTTCCTTGCTTACATCGATATATAAGTCTAGCTTTATTTAGATCTTTTATTGTCTGAATATGTAAACATCCTTCTAATGTATACACCTCCAATCTCTCATGCACGATACCTAATAAGTAAGGGTCATCCCAAGCTGAAAATCATAATAAAAATTTGGTTAATTGCAATTTAAAGAGATAAAAAATAAACTAAATAGTTTACTGTCTGTACCTATTGCATTAGGTGCATCCGACCATTTGACAGGACTGTGCTGAACCAACTCTCCTTTTGTATCCATAACAAATGATTGAGAATCCTTTCCCAATACAAAAGAACTGTCTGATAATTTTGTAACACTCGGTTCTGGAGATTTACCAGTAGGAAAGAGTTCTTTAGCTTTACCATTTAAATCAAAAATGGTATACGATAATCCACGAAATCCCAGGATCAATGATTCACCACACCTTTATAATTAATATGAAATTAATCATTAAAGCTATTATGTTGAAATATTTTTTAGTAACTTTTCAGTATGTATTACCATGATAATTGACGAGGTATGTCCGGCACAGTTAACTCAAAATCTTTAAATTCTTCAAATTTCTTTCCCTTCCAATAATATAATTGTAATTTACGTTTAACAGCGACACATAAACGCACTACAGTATTTTTTTCTCCTGTCAGACTCTGAGTTGACTGAACATCCAAAGTGAATAGAGTAGCACCACGAGTTTTTGATAATTGGCATATTTGTTGAAAGTTTGGTGAATTCAAATCATGAATGCATACAATATTATCTGCAAATTTGCATAAATTAAATAAATTAAATAATAAGATTTATATTATCCATACAAATTAATTCATCAAAACAAATATTATCTTTAATATACCTGTCAAGATGATTAATAAGTTATATTCTGGTACTACATCTATCTGATTGATCCGCTTCTTATTAAAGTTCTTGCTGTGACGTAATAATTCTAGTTTGTGACTGTCGTCAAACACTGATGGAACATTATACATAAGAAGATGACCCTCTCTTGTGCCTATTAATAAGTTATCATCTGAAACAATCAACACAATAAGCAATAATATTCCAGTCTATTGATAATTCCTAGTAATTTGATTATGTATACTAAGTTATTATTCCCACCATAAGCAGCCATAGACTCGATTTGCACCGTAATATTTAATATAGATGTTTCCTCATAAGCGTCGTGCATTGTTGCAGTTTAAAAATTATATCGTATGTGTTGTTAATTAAATTTTTCAACTCATTAAGAACTGTCAGTCACAGCTGGAGCTGATATCAGATAAAAAGGGGAGAGAGGCGAGGACTATATGATCATAAACTAGTCAATTACTAGATAGACGTTGCGAAAAGAAACTGGACAAAACAGGGTCTTCTTGACCCAGCATCGGTCCAGCATTTTTTATTTAGTTTATATTGAAATTTTAATTACTATATTATTTTAAAAATTATTAATATTGAATGATAAATATTATAAAAATACTAAAAAAGTTGTTATATTAATCTAAATAATAATTTACATCAAAAATATTTTTGATATATTTAATATTTTTTTTTAATTCTCAGCCTAAAATTTTAATTACAAAAATTCTTATAATTTTTAAAAGTAATTAATAACAGTTATTTAGAATTATAAATAAAATTTCTTATTTTATTATTTTATTGTTATAATCTTACTATTATTATTAATTTATTATTTTTATTAATTTAATTTATTATTTTATAATTTTTATTATTTTATTGTTTATATAATTAAATAATATTTATATATGTTATTAAGGGATTATTAAAAACATTACAGAATTATTCTCTTATCTATCATTTCGTACAATTATTTAATTTGTACAATTAAATAACTCACAAGTGTATCAAGTTGACAATTTTTTTATTTAAATTAAATTTCGCGCGTGAAGTAGGAAAAAAATATCTTAGGCAACCTGTTGCTTACTTCATATCGCAAGATCGCGAGCGGCCGGCGAGACGGATCCGGGCGGAATCGCGACGAATTTGGGTGAAAAAGTGAGAGGTAAGCCATAATTATTGTCACATTTCAATAATTCTCGATTGCTAGCATAAATACGACGTCGAGCGACGTACGGCATATCGTTGTTCGCACGCAGTCTCATTAAATTGTTCATCATCATTCGGCCGGCGAGCGAGTATGTATCATATATGTTGCATGTTAACACAAGAACACGGCGTCTCATCAGTTTTCGAGACTCGATCGTGAAAAATATCACAATCACATGGTGTACAGTCGATTGGCGAGTATCAATTCTCGTAATTATTCATTAATTCCATTAAACGATTCAATGTACGTATCACATCGATACATTATTGTCGGAGAAAAAATATTTGGAGCATCTAATTTTATGCATCTGAGTACGAGTAATTAAGTATCGAGATGAATTTGTGTATAAATCATTGTTTCTGGTGATATATATTTACGATAATCATTATTTGTCATGCATTGAGATCATATTTTAATTATTTTCGACCATAGTCATATGTGTATATATATATATATATATATATATATACAGTGGTTGCTCGATCATCGATAATTTGCTGTTAATCTTTGCAGTTGGCGCACATGCGCAGTTAGTTCCAAGAAACATCGCTTCGCGCGCTTTCTCGCGTTTCTAGCGCTTTCCCGCGTTTTCCCGCTATTGATGCGCGCGTCGGTCAGCCATATTGAATTCGGGAATTCGCGCTGAAAGTGTCGTGCGCTTATTAATTATGTGTTTGAATATATAATTAATACGGACGCGCGTAATCGTAGTCAATTGTTTTTGCGCGTTTAAGTAAAATTAATTGTTTTCGCTAGGGAGAACCATGAAGAGGCAGCAACAGTAATGAAATAAGAGAGGAGGAGACGGTATATCATCCGCGAGCGAGGCGGCATAAAAAATAACAGGTATAATAATTTATATTATTTTTATTTATTATTATATATTTGTAACAAATTCAATAAAAAATATATTTTAATACGCGCAATAATTCTGCTCGTTTATTCAAATGATTTAAACAAGTGATATTGGACAAAATATTTTCATATAAAAATTTTATACAGATTGCAACCAAAAATAAAACAATTATTTTTCTAAAATTTATAAAATTACTTATATAATTATATATCTATTTATATAGTTTTTGTATATACACATTGAATTTTATATTCGAAAGTAAACAATAATAATTTTCTAAAATATTAAAGTATTGTTCTTCTGAAATATATTAAATTAATTATTAATGTGTGTGTTACAGATTGTATAATTGACGACACCAACAAATTGAGAGAGAAAGGAGGGCTGGAAAAGGCATCGAGTATCACACAGACTCTAAAGTGAGTATTATTAATTACATTAATTATTAATTATTATTTATTATAATCACATTAAATAAAAATTTATTAATTTTAATAAATCAAATTTTATAAAATTATTTAAATATTATACACATATAAAATAAAATCTAATAAAATCTAACAATATATAAAATAATAATATAATAATAATTGTTTAAAAAATTAATTATCTTGGGCTCTATTACAGTTTTTATTTATATGTTACAGATCAGAGTATGAGATCAACAACAACATCCAAAAATTGAGGAGAAGAAAAGGTTTAAGAAAGACATTGGGCGACAAAAGAACCCTAAGGGTATTTATTATTTATTTATTAATTATAAAATAAAAATTTGTTGGTTGTATTAAATTGAATTTTTTTAAATTATTTAATTATTATGCACGCATATAAAATAAAATCTAATAAAATCTTAATGATACATAATAATAATATATAATAATTGTTTGGAAGATTAATCATCTTGGGCGCTATTACAATTTTTTATTTTATTTATATATTATAGATCAACTCATAATATATGATAAATCGAAACGGAAGAAGATCTATAGGAAAAGCATCAGTCACAAAATAATCTTAGAGTGAGTATTTATTATTTATTAGTTACATTAAATCAAAATTTAAATAAAATATATATATTTAATAAAATAAAATCTAACAAAATAAAATCTAGTAAAATAATTATTGTTTGAAAAAATAATTATCTTGAGCACTACAATTTTTATTCTATTTATATTTTATATGTTACAGATCAACGTATCAAATCAACAATTGACGACACCAAAATTGAGAGAGAAGGAGAGGAGGAGGAGGCCTAGGAAGGCATCAGGCACCGGCAAAGGAACCTTAAAGTGAGTAGTTGTCATTTATGTATTAGTTGTATTAAATCAAGATTCATTAATTGTACTAAATAAAAATTATAAAATTATTTAATTATTTTCTTATTACTGCACGCATGGAAAATAAAATCTATAATAAAATAATAATTATTTGAAAAATTAAATATCTTGAGCAACTACTACAATTTTTATACTATTTATGTGTTACAGGTCAACAGGTAGCTTACAGTTCATTCCAGTCAACTGCTTGGTGAGCGATAAAGTATTAATTTTTACGAGGTAACGGTTTTGAGATTAGAGTGTAGAAAATGTAGATATAGATTTGTGTAGATTGTAGACTGTAGATTAGATCGTAGACTAGATTGTAGATATAATATCCATACCTCAAGAAGATAATAAGCACATATCTGACACGGTCTAATGATCGACACAAAATGTTGCTTATTAAACAAATTGATTAAAATTGAGACACAAGCTTAGACCAAGATGTATTTTATTATTTTTTTTATTTTATTATTGTTTAAATTAATTTTATAATTATTGTTCAAATAATAGTTTTGTTCAAATTAATTTCATAATTAATAAATCGATATTAATAAATCCATATTAATAAATTGATATAAAATACTAGGAAAACTGCACTCTTAACTTTTGCAATCATATATATAGAAAATATTAGAAAGCGCATATAATAAAGAAACTTTTATATTAAATATCTGCATTTTCTTAATTTACTTGCAATTTTAAAAATTAGGGAATTCTTAGGAAATTTTATTTACAAAATTTAAATAGGCATCCTGTGACCCCCTAAGACATTCGAAATGCAAAATGTGACGCGTTTAAGTACGGGAGTGTCGTGTGAAAGTATCGCGCGCTTAATTAAGTGCGGGAATATCGTGTAAAAGTATCGCGCGTTTTGGTGCGGGAGTGTCGTCCAAAGTATCGGGCGTTTTAGTGCGGGAGTGTCGTTTTAAAGTATCGCGCGTGAAAGCTGAAGATTTCGACAAGAGACAATCCTGACCTGAGAGGAGGAACAGGCCTGGGATGGGGCATCGGGCGCCAGCCGAGCAACCTTGCGGTAAATATTAATTATATATTAGTATAATACGTTTTGTTATAAATTACGTATATGTTAATTTTATTCCTATAAGTATTTGAATGGTTTAAACAAGAGAGAAATAGAAAAAATATTTTTACATATAAAAATTCATAAAAAAGTCTTATATAAAAGTTTATACTAAAAAAAAATAGTCTTCAAAAATTTTTAAAGTTAATTAATTATTTATTGTATACGTTGAATGTAAAATTTAATATGTATAATTATTATTTTTAGAAATATTAATTAGTTTAGCTCTTTGTTATAATTTGAATTCTATTTTTATGTTACAGATCGACGTAGCTTCGTAGATGAAATCAATTCTGCTGTTGTGCATCGATTGGTGAATAAACTATTATTTTAATACTAGATTTTGTAGAAATTAGATTATAGATATATAGATTTAGATTGTAGAATGTAGATTGTAGATTGTAAATTGTAGATCCGTTACCTCAAATAAATTATCTAAGTAGTATAGATTATTTCGCCAGAAAATATCAATGACACGCGCGACTATAAGAAATATATGATGATGAGAAACATCATCGTAAAGTTTACCAATTCATCTATTCGACCAGAAATTGCGATTTTTAATTAATTTGTGTGCATATCCTTGCGTTGCACGATGCAAATCAACGTGCCCATGATATAAAAATATTAGAAATGATTATTCTTGAGATTAGCTCGTGGGGAAAAATTATTGGTGTAAATCTAGGTATATCATTCACATAAGCTTGCATTAATATAAAATGATAACATAATTAAATATTATTTTATACATATTAATACAAAAAATACAAAGATTCTTTTTTCAAAAATTGCATAAAAAATTATTTTTTAAAAATATTATTTAATTTAGTATATATATATATATATATAATGTAGTACTATTATGTGAATTTATAATATTAAATATATACTTTACGTAGTATATATATATACATTTATTATTTAATATTATTTTTTATTATTATTTTATATTTAATATTTAAAATTTAATAAAAACATTAAATATTAAACATTCGACGGGATAAAATCTTCTATACAATACATAAAAATAATTTATTCACTTATTTGTATGACATGTTAATTCACATCATATCTTAAATTAAATATATACTGAAAAAAATAATATTTTGCATAAAATATCTTGTTTTTCTATGCACTTTCTGAAAAAGAATCTCATATTCTTTGTATATCGATATACATAAAATTCAATTACATAATGTAAAATTTATATAAAAGGAACATCTTCGTATCCATGACCGTGATTGTGAAGTTGACACGACATTGTACAAATTAAAAAAAAATATTAAGAGATTTAATAACACTTTTCACATCTCTTCAAATCTTAATAGAAATTTAAACAGATATCTCCATTTCTAATATTAAAAAATTGAAAATAAAAAGATGTACTCACTTCGCAAATCAAACACCTTCCTATCTAAAGTACTAAAATGCGTTGATATATATATATATATATATATATATATATATATATATATATGTGTATGTGTGTACATATACAAATATGCATACATGTATATACATATATACACAATATATATATATATATATTTATAATAACATGTTAATATAATAAAACGACAGTTGACAAAAGTTTCCAATATATAATTTTGTTCAATTTCAATCCAGTCAGAAATTACTAGTTAAAAAGACGTTGATTCGACATCTTTTTAACTAGTGATTTCTCACTGGAAATACATATGTGGAATATCAAAATGATATTTTATCAATTAATAATTTTTAATCGATATAATTAATATACCTGCCCAACATGACATTTACTTGTTAGTGCATCATGAAAATGTCGTTCTAATTATGTAGTGGTAATGTCGTGCTAATAATTTTAAGTAATTTTAATAATAGTATTTAAAAGAGTTCTAAAAAGTTCTATTAGAATAAATTCAACAAAAAATTTTGATTAATAATAATTAACTGAATTGTTCTTATTTCTTTTATAGTATAGTTATATCTTCTGTATCTTATATAATATTTTTCACGTTTCACGAAAAGACAGACAGAAAACGCATAGAATTATTAAAGTAGTTATTTATTATAGTAAACATTTTATTTTTTATAGTAAACATATTTTATTTTTTGTAAAATTGTATATTAGTAAAATTGTATTTAACGTATTTGATTTTTTCTGTGTTTGATGAAGGACGGGAAGCACGTAATATATAAAAGAGCACGTGCAAGTCCTGTCTAGAAATGTATTCTATTTTATTTTTTACATAGCAGTAGTGTAGTTATTTTTTGTTTTGGCATATTTGATTTTTTGTATTAAGCATATATTTGATTTTTTCTGTAGTGTTTGATGAAGGACGGGAAGCACGTAAATATATAAAAGAGCACGTGCAAGTCCTGTCTAGAAATGTATTCTATTTTATTTTTTACATAGGAGTAGTATAATTATTTTTTGTTTTGGCATATTTGATTTTTTGTATTTAGCATATATTTGATTTTTTCTGTAGTGTTTGATGAAGGACGGGAAGCACGTAATTATATAAAAGAGCACGTGCAAGTCCTGTCTAGAAATGTATTTTATTTAATTTTTTACATAGGAGTAGTATAATTATTTTTTGTATTTAGCGTATTTGATTTTTTGTATTTAGCATATATTTGATTTTTTCTGTAGTGTTTGATGAAGGACGGGAAGCACGTAAATATATAAAAGAGCACGTGCAAGTCCTGTCTAGAAATGTATTTTATTTTATTTTTTACATAGCAGTAGTGTAGTTATTTTTTGTTTTGGCATATTTGATTTTTTGTATTTAGCATATATTTGATTTTTTCTGTAGTGTTTGATGAAGGACGGGAAGCACGTAATTATATAAAAGAGCACGTGCAAGTCCTGTCTAGAAATGTATTTTATTTTATTTTTTACATAGGAGTAGTATAATTATTTTTTGTATTTAGCATATTTGATTTTTTGTATTTAGCATATATTTGATTTTTTCTGTAGTGTTTGATGAAGGACGGGAAGCACGTAATTATATAAAAGAGCACGTGCAAGTCCTGTCTAGAAATGTATTTTATTTTATTTTTTACATAGGAGTAGTATAATTATTTTTTGTATTTAGCGTATTTGATTTTTTGTATTTAGCATATATTTGATTTTTTCTGTAGTGTTTGATGAAGGACGGGAAGCACGTAAATATATAAAAGAGCACGTGCAAGTCCTGTCTAGAAATGTATTCTATTTTATTTTTTACATAGCAGTAGTGTAGTTATTTTTTGTTTTGGCATATTTGATTTTTTGTATTTAGCATATATTTGATTTTTTCTGTAGTGTTTGATGAAGGACGGGAAGCACGTAATTATATAAAAGAGCACGTGCAAGTCCTGTCTAGAAATGTATTTTATTTTATTTTTTACATAGGAGTAGTATAATTATTTTTTGTATTTAGCATATTTGATTTTTTGTATTTAGCATATATTTGATTTTTTCTGTAGTGTTTGATGAAGGACGGGAAGCACGTAATTATATAAAAGAGCACGTGCAAGTCCTGTCTAGAAATGTATTTTATTTTATTTTTTACATAGGAGTAGTATAATTATTTTTTGTATTTAGCATATTTGATTTTTTGTATTTAGCATATATTTGATTTTTTCTGTAGTGTTTGATGAAGGACGGGAAGCACGTAAATATATAAAAGAGCACGTGCAAGTCCTGTCTAGAAATGTATTCTATTTTATTTTTTACATAGGAGTAGTATAATTATTTTTTGTATTTAGCATATTTGATTTTTTGTATTTAGCATATATTTGATTTTTTCTGTAGTGTTTGATGAAGGACGGGAAGCACGTAATTATATAAAAGAGCACGTGCAAGTCCTGTCTAGAAATGTATTTTATTTTATTTTTTACATAGGAGTAGTATAATTATTTTTTGTATTTAGCATATTTGATTTTTTGTATTTAGCATATATTTGATTTTTTCTGTAGTGTTTGATGAAGGACGGGAAGCACGTAATTATATAAAAGAGCACGTGCAAGTCCTGTCTAGAAATGTATTTTATTTTATTTTTTACATAGGAGTAGTATAATTATTTTTTGTATTTAGCGTATTTGATTTTTTGTATTTAGCATATATTTGATTTTTTCTGTAGTGTTTGATGAAGGACGGGAAGCACGTAAATATATAAAAGAGCACGTGCAAGTCCTGTCTAGAAATGTATTTATTTTATTTTTTACATAGCAGTAGTGTAGTTATTTTTTGTTTTGGCATATTTGATTTTTTGTATTTAGCATATATTTGATTTTTTCTGTAGTGTTTGATGAAGGACGGGAAGCACGTAATTATATAAAAGAGCACGTGCAAGTCCTGTCTAGAAATGTATTTTATTTTATTTTTTACATAGGAGTAGTATAATTATTTTTTGTATTTAGCATATTTGATTTTTTGTATTTAGCATATATTTGATTTTTTCTGTAGTGTTTGATGAAGGACGGGAAGCACGTAATTATATAAAAGAGCACGTGCAAGTCCTGTCTAGAAATGTATTTTATTTTATTTTTTACATAGGAGTAGTATAATTATTTTTTGTATTTAGCATATTTGATTTTTTGTATTTAGCATATATTTGATTTTTTCTGTAGTGTTTGATGAAGGACGGGAAGCACGTAATTATATAAAAGAGCACGTGCAAGTCCTGTCTAGAAATGTATTTTATTTTATTTTTTACATAGGAGTAGTATAATTATTTTTTGTATTTAGCATATTTGATTTTTTGTATTTAGCATATATTTGATTTTTTCTGTAGTGTTTGATGAAGGACGGGAAGCACGTAATTATATAAAAGAGCACGTGCAAGTCCTGTCTAGAAATGTATTTTATTTTATTTTTTTACATAGGAGTAGTATAATTATTTTTTGTATTTAGCGTATTTGATTTTTTGTATTTAGCATATATTTGATTTTTTCTGTAGTGTTTGATGAAGGACGGGAAGCACGTAAATATATAAAAGAGCACGTGCAAGTCCTGTCTAGAAATGTATTTTATTTTATTTTTTACATAGCAGTAGTATAATTATTTTTTGTATTTAGCATATTTGATTTTTTGTATTTAGCATATATTTGATTTTTTCTGTAGTGTTTGATGAAGGACGGGAAGCACGTAAATATATAAAAGAGCACGTGCAAGTCCTGCCTAGAAATGTATTCTATTTTATTTTTTACATAGCAGTAGTGTAGTTATTTTTTGTTTTGGCATATTTGATTTTTTGTATTTAGCATATATTTGATTTTTTCTGTAGTGTTTGATGAAGGACGGGAAGCACGTAATTATATAAAAGAGCACGTGCAAGTCCTGTCTAGAAATGTATTTTATTTTATTTTTTACATAGGAGTAGTATAATTATTTTTTGTATTTAGCATATTTGATTTTTTGTATTTAGCATATATTTGATTTTTTCTGTAGTGTTTGATGAAGGACGGGAAGCACGTAAATATATAAAAGAGCACGTGCAAGTCCTGCCTAGAAATGTATTCTATTTTATTTTTTACATAGCAGTAGTGTAGTTATTTTTTGTTTTGACATATTTGATTTTTTGTATTTAGCATATATTTGATTTTTTCTGTAGTGTTTGATGAAGGACGGGAAGCACGTAATTATATAAAAGAGCACGTGCAAGTCCTGTCTAGAAATGTATTTTATTTTATTTTTTTACATAGGAGTAGTATAATTATTTTTGTATTTAGCGTATTTGATTTTTTGTATTTAGCATATATTTGATTTTTTGTGTAGTGTTTGATGAAGGACGGGAAGGACGTAATTATATAAAAGAGCACGTGCAAGTCCTGTTTAGAAATGTATTCTATTTTATTTCTTTCATAGCAGTAGTATAGTTATCTTCTGTATCTTATAATATTTTTTATGTTTTACGAAAAGACAGACTGAATACGCGTAGAATCATTAAAGTAGTTTTTTATTAAGATAAACATATTTTATTTATTTTTTGTAAAATTGTATTTTAGTAAAATTATATTTAGCATAATTTATTATTTATGTAGTGTTTAATATGAAGGACAGGAAGCACGTAAACATAAAAAGGCACGTGCAAATCTTGTCCTAAAAATGTAATAAATAATTTTTTATAATTGTAGTAATATATATTTATGTGACAATGATTAAAACTGATGAAAATCGGCACAATTTCACTTTGATACGTACTGGACATAATTGCATGTCGAAAATTGTTTTATGAAATATATTAATTTATTATACTATTATAATTTAAACTCTTCAGAATCTATAGCGTTGTATATATATATAATTCTTATATACATATATAATTTTTTAATACTATCATTAAGTTTATAGAAATTCATTAGCACGATATTTTCATTAAATGTCAATCTGGACGTTTTAATATTAAAAATCGTTTTAAAATTATTTAGGTAATAAAATGTCGTTCAGGTATTTTATATATATATATATATATATATATATATATATATATATATGTATATTATACTGAAGTTAAATACAACTATTGGTATATATAACACGGATTAAATATAAACATATTCAATGTATTTGTGTACTTTAAAGAAGAGAGTGTTAGATTTGCGAAATCTTTTCAATTTCAATTTTTTAATATCGTATAAGAAATATGGAACTTTTTTAAATTTTATCAGGAATTGTAGGACTATGAAAACTGTTATTAAATCTTTAAGTAATGTTTCGAAGTTCGTACAAAATGTCATGCCAACTTATTTACAATTACATGTGCGAGCTCGGAGATTTTTATTTTACATAAGTTTTACATTATATATTTGAATTTATTCATATCGATACAAAGAAAAAATCAGAGAGAGATAGAGAATACGAAGAAAAAGTGCATAGTGGAGAAGAGTATATAATATTGAACATAGTATATTATTTTATACATAAGATAAATATCTTCAGTATATAGGACTGTAGGGTATATAATGTGACTTTAACATCGCATACCGAAATTTAATAATTATAATAAGTAGCCAAATTTGTTGGCATTATTTTTGTGCATTGTGTAAATTTTCACGTTCGAAAGTTTTAATATTTATAATTTCTTTTTTAAATTTTAAGTATTAATATGAAATAATAATAAAAAATGATATTAAATAATAATATTTAATATTTACAATAATATTAAATAATATAATATTTAATATTTAACAAAATATTAAATAATAATATTTTAATATTTAAAATAATTATTATATATTAATATTAATAATCAATATTTAATATTAAATAATAATATCGCATATTTAATATTATATATTCAATACTATATATATACTAAATATTTTTTATATTTAGTATATAATATTGAATATAGTATATTATTTTATGTTTATTATTATTATAATTTATTTTAAATATTTTATTTCAATTATTTTAATATAGAGGAAATATATAATATTGATAAGAGAACAACTTTATTAATTACTAGAATTTTTTACCATCGACTTTATTTTAGAATATTGTCGATTTTTTATTATTCTGCAATGACATTTTTTTAATTGATGACGCTACCTACTTACTTCCGGCCACGCTATTCTACTCTCGGTGAGTCATCTTTAGTAACACGTAATCTGTGGTGAAAGCTTCAAAACAAAATTTCGTTTGGTGATTAGTTTATTGAATTTTTGATTAAAATGATCGAGGAACACGACGAACACGAGACGATATGCGACTCAGTGGTAAGTGATGCAGTGAATTGAATATCGAAGATGTTGGTGAATTATCAGAAGAAGCAAACAAACCACGAGTATGTAAACACATTGAAATTCTAACCTTACTTTTAGAATTCACTGGTTGAAGGTTGTCGTTTACCAGTTCGGATGCATACTACGGATGATTGGCGTAAGTAAATTACACATCTATTGCTTCTATAGCTCTCTAAAAGAATATTTTACTATGGAAAGATGGAATTTGTTTGTTTGTTTGAAAGACTGACCTATCGTCTATCTCAATAAGATTGATTCTAAGCTGCATTAAATTATATGACAATATATATAAACATGACGTTTTATTGCAATATATTAATAGATTTCTATGCAGATTATGAAAATGTTTTGATTATACATATAATTATTTGCATTGATATGTATTTTTATGGTAACAATCATTGTCAGCATATATATTTCTCATAAGAGTAATTTTATTGTATACATAATATCTAAATCTAAGAATTTATCATATTTAAATAGTGCAATTTATTTGTGAAATGTTGCAAAAGATAAGATAGCAAATTATGTGCAATATTATTTTTAAACTTATACAATATTTTGATATTAAGATGACTCAAGCAGATTCTATTTATTCTATCTCTAGCTCTCGCCGAAATCATCAGTGTTAAAGAAGTACAGGGTGTCAAATGTTATTATGTTCACTATGTGGATTGTAAGTATATAACTTTGCATTAGAATATCAAAATCTTAAGCAATATGTAATTATTGTTATAATTGTATTATTTTAGTCAACAAACGATTGGATGAATGGGTTATGGAGGATTCTTTGGACACTAGAAAAGTCCAATATCCACGTCGTGAAGGAACAACACCAGGAACTGGTGCAGCAACACCAAAAAAGCAGGCTGCTAGTAGACCTCCTAGTCCCAGTAGTCTTAGCAATGAACCAGTCAATGGTAATGCTGTGTTACAGGCTGCACTACAAAAGAAAATGTCTAGAAAGAGGAAAGCGACATTTCTTGAAAACGAGGATTCTCAAGATGCACCACCACCGCCACCACAAACACCAGGAGGTCCCAGACCCACTGGTTCTCTAGTAGCGCATCAGAATGATGATGTAGTCACAAGAATGAAAAACGTTGAATTAATTGAACTAGGCCGTCATAGAATAAAACCCTGGTACTTTAGCCCTTATCCGATGGAGATGGTGAACTTAAATTGTATATATATCTGCGAGTTTTGTCTGAAATATAGGAAGAATCGAAAATGCTTGGAGAGACATTTAGTCAAATGCAATCTACGTCATCCGCCTGGAAATGAGATATATAGGAAAGGATCTATATCGTTTTTCGAGATTGATGGTCGCAAGAATAAGAACTATGCACAAAATCTTTGCTTGCTAGCGAAATTATTCTTAGATCACAAAACTCTTTATTATGACACAGATCCTTTTTTGTTCTATGTAATGACAGAATTTGACAGCAGAGGATTTCACATAGTTGGCTATTTTTCAAAGGAAAAGGGATCAACAGAAGATCACAACGTAGCATGCATTCTAACACTGCCACCATATCAAAGAAGAGGTTACGGCAAGCTCTTGATAGAATTTTCATACGAGCTATCAAAATTCGAAGGAAAGACCGGCTCTCCCGAAAAACCATTGTCCGATTTGGGTTTGCTTTCGTACAGAAGCTATTGGGCGCACACAATACTCGATATCCTGTTAACCATAAAGCCTGTGGTGGAAAATGAGAAACCACAGATAACGATAAATGAAATCTCCGAGGTGACGTCGATTAAAAAGGAGGACGTAATATCGACTTTGCAAAATCTGAATCTCATTAATTACTACAAGGGACAATATATTGTGACGTTAAATAGGTAATTTATCACCAAGATGAAAGGAGATTACCTACAATTTATCTAATTTGATGAGATCTTTATCCTAAGGTCTCTTCATCCTGATATCTTTATTTGCAGGGAAATTATTGAACAACATTCATCTGCAATGGAAAAAAGGCAGATTAGGATAGATCCTAAGTGTCTACATTGGACACCGAAAGACTGGAGTGTTAGAGCTAAATGGTGAAAAAAACCCTGAATTGACAATAAGATGATGCTGAATTGTTTTGGAATTATTTTTCAGGGGAATTCCGGAAGTAGTTACAGTTTATGGAAATATAAAAGTTGCACGTACTACATATACACACATAGATATATACATACATTATACATAACATGTATTATGTATGTATACATGTATGTGTTTGTATGTATATGTGTGTATATATATATATATATATATATATATAAATATAAATCTTTGACCTCTCCATGGTCTAGTGTTTTAATAAGACTGTATTTGGCATTGTGCATGCTTATTGCAATGCTATGTAGACACTCAACGTACGCAAATTTCGGTTGTAGAGAGCTAAGATAATACAATGCTCGCGGGATTATACCTGACAAAATATATATTTGCTGTAATAACATATATCTTAATGCCAGACGCAATGTTTTAATACAGTGATCAGAATTTTTTTAAACGTGTGCAAAAAGAAAAAGTTGCTCGACACGATGACCGATTTTGTATAGAAAATCTATCAATCTTGTGTAATATTGTAAATAAATGTGATTTTATAACATACTTACAATCTCTCAATAGCTCAAGAGGATTCAAATTTTAAAGAAAAGTATTTGTATAGGCTCAATACTCAGACTGTTATTCATAATTCGATTTTTAGTATTATATGCAAGGACAAAATGTAGCTACAGTGTAGCATACCTATTGTGTATATGTAAATATGTACACATCTTTTCGCATTGTTGTTTATATAATGTACATTTCCCCGCGATATATATGAAATAATTTAGTAATTAAAAAACTAGTACTAGTACGAGTATTAAAAACCTAATGCTTGGATAAAAAATACAATGCGTATTTGTGAATATTTAGTAATGTTTATATATGCAAGTAATCTTATTTTAAGAACAATTTTTAGCTATCATCGTTATTAATAATTGTATCATTAAAATTGAGAATGTAAATAATTGACTAAATCTCTAATCTAAATGCCGTCCGGGATTTATTTTTTATTTAGGGCTTTATCACAATCCAAATATTGAATTTTTATAGCTATACAGTCGATGCTTGTACATTATGAAGTTGTAGATGAGCGCTTTTTGACGAAGATGACCTTTAATCATGCTTTTGATTTTGTAACACAGAAGAATTAAATATAGTTACCAATATAAAATAAATTTCAGCTTCTCAATTTATCTCAGTTCTTTTTTCTATTGTTCTACTTAATCCACTTAAATAAAATTTAAACTGAATGTAATATATTACATGATTTCAATATATTTATGAATCGTATACTTAATGAAAAAAATATTCTCATAAAAAATGCTATTTATATAAAATCTTACATAGATACATGTAGTAATAAAAAAAATTAATTTATAAAATTAATATGTATTATTGTAATGATCATAAAAATATTTGTTTTATGATTGTAGTATAGTGAATAAAATTAAAAGTTTTGTGTAGATTCAATAAAAGTTTAAGTTAATTTAAATTGGATAATAGAAAAAGTAAGAGTTCATTATAAAATTGATATCTCTTATATTTCCTGTTAACCGAGTTAAACTAACTTCAACTTTTATAAAATCCATGCAAATCTTTAATTAAATTTATTGACTTAATTCATATATAAAACAAATTTTTCTAATTAATACAATAGTAAACGATAGTTTTATGCCTAATCAATATTTTTTTTCATTACTACATTTTCCTTCAATTAAATGATTACTGCTCGAAAATCTAATCTCAATTATCATTCGCGAATAATAAAAAATACAAAGAATTAGAAAGTTCTTCTACGTTATTGATTTTTTCTTATAAATTATAATTATGCATGGTATACGATAACCAAATTTTATAAGACAGAAAAACTTGTTTTTTGCTTTTTTTTTGCAAAATGCAAGTAAAAAGAAAAAAATAAAGTTCTTATTTTACACGTATATATACTTAGATTTGATAGGATTTATGTATAAGGAAGCTATTCTAGCACAATACATTTTTATTGCCTATATTACATAATAGATCAGTCACGTTATCGTCTTTAAAAAATAGTTTGCTCGTATGAATATAAATTACAATTTCACTTTCACACACACACGCGCATACATACACAGATTCGCGACAGACTTTGTTTTCGGTGAGCGAGAAGATAAAAGAAAACATTCTTTAGACACGACTTTTTAAATACAGCATCTTTTATGTGTATATGTATATATGTATATATATATATGTATATGTATGTATATAGATATATAGATATATTTTTTTATATTCAACAGTAACATCACAGTAGCTTCATATACAATAAATCTTTGTTCATAATTTTATCTGTCTTTTTTTTGTATTCGTTACCACGCAAGCGTGACACGGCGAGTTCCTAAAAAGATTCATCACGTGAATACGACAAGCGAGAAGGAAGAAACTCGTGTGCACGCACTTTTTTTCATAATTCTCAAGTCACAATTAATCTCATACCGATATGATCGCATGAAATTGGAAACGCTTTTTTTGATATCGTAAATTCATTGATATATGTATATCCTGTCTCTCATACACACTATTACTAATTTGAATTCACGTACACACACACAACAATATGTGGGTATGATATATCAGGATAATAAATTATTATCAAAATATTTATCAATCGTATAATGTGCGCATCTCACGATTTATCGCGAAGTAAACTGAAACACACATGTATAGACGACAATTCTCATTAATAAGAATTCCGTAAAACGAGATAACATTTGGCTGATTGCAAATTGATATAGATCACTCGATACTTTCATATTAAAAGAAATCAAAGAAATACAGAAAGTTGAGAGCCACAGACATTCACTTATATTAATCGCATTTTATAAAAGCAATTTAAAATTTAAATGTCATCCATAAACAAGATTATTTTTTTTATTCATTTAAGAATAAAATTTTCTTCTCTTTTATGCTTACTCTTCACGCTAAAATATCCTTCAAAAATCAGAATCTTCTCCGAAATATATATAATATAAGAGGGGATAGAAATAAAAATTTATAATTTATCTAAGCTTAAGTGATTCAAAATATAAATTGACAAATCTAGAAAAAAGTATAGTCGCGACTTCTCGCCGCTGCGTTTGTGAGTGGACAATACCTTTTTCTCCCTTAACAATAACGACAACAACAACAACAACGAGACGATGAAAATTCAATGGCAGCGATATAATGTCGAGGAGGACAGCGAGTATTTAACAAGATAAGAATGGACGACACGTACACGATATCGCACGACAACGCATTTATAGACTATCATATCATACGGATAACCAGACGCACATGCCAGAGAATTTAAGAAGCGCTTAAAATTACGCACAACCCTCGTATATCGCACGGAACGCAATTCGCGATCGAGATTATCCTTATAATTAGGCGCACACCGAGCCAATGCAATAGCCTATTTATTTCTGCATATCATGACCGTAAATTCCGAAGAACCCCGGGAAAAAATTTTGTATATATATAATTATATATAAATAATTGTAGAATTATACATATAATCGTAAAATTTTATGTGAAATTTATCCATTTTTATACATAATTATATAAATTTATACATAAGCTATAAGGGTTCATATATCATCATGTCAAATTATATATGAAACATATATTTATATATATGAAGAAATACTTATTATATATATATATATATATATATATATATATATATATAAATTATATAATTGTATATAAAAAGCACTTTTATCTAATTATGTATGGACATATTTCATATATAATTTTGCGATTATATGTATAATTTTATATATTTCTATATAATTTTATATTGTTGTATATAAAAAAAATGTTTCCCGGGACGCGCAATAAAATCTCTACTCGCTCTCTAATCACTCGAATAACATCTTCAACAGATTATTACATATATACAATATATGTACACTGAAAAAAAATTATTAAATTAATAAATATTTATTTCAATACTGCCTTACTTATAAATTATTTATTTGAAACAAATAAATATTTTTGTTTTGAAAAAGATTTTCTTATATCAAATAAATATTTTTTTTACATTAAATCAATATTATTAGTTTCAAATAAATGATTTATATGACAGTATTGAAATAAATATTTATTTGTATTCAATAAATTTTTTTTCAGTGTAGATAACTTAACAATTTGGAACACAATTACTTGATAATAATCATAATTAAAAATTTTAATTTTAATGAAAATTGTAATTAGGAGAATAGGGTTACTAAAGTATCTTGTCATATAACAAAATACTATATAATTCAAATAATATTAAATATTTTATTTTTAACCTTTTGAATGTTATGGACGCATAATATGTTTTGGAAAAATGTTCGTGGCGAAAACGGTCGCATATATGTGCGTAATAAATTTTTTCAGTTTATATTTTCGACAAATAAAAATTATCAGTATTTGCATATTATATCAGTGAGTATATAATATTAAAAAAACAACAAAATATGCATTTTTTATATTGATAATAAATTATTTAAAAAAGCTTACGCCACACATACTATTCTATTAATCAAAATAAGCGCATTTACAATATACACTTAACAATACATTTTTTCTTTAATGAAATATAAATTTATTAAAAGATAATAAATTAATTTAAATATGCAGGAAAAGTGTATTTATCAAGTCAGCATTTATCGATTAATTAAAATTAATGTATGATGCGTCGTGATGTGAATTAAAATCTAAATTGCTAATTATTACAATATAAAAAATTTATAGGAGCTTCCTCTAAATTGAAAAACCGCACGAACATTTTAACTATACATTTATTTATTTTAACGATAATAAGCAAAATCAAGGCTATATTAACTCTGAATCGTTCCATATTCAAAAGGTTAATAAGCTTTTTTAATTATTCATAATAATAATAATAATATAATAGCAATAAAAGTTTAAATAATTCGAAAATTATTCTTCTCAACATGACAGAAAGAAACTACTCTCAGTAGTTAAATTTCTCTTTCGTCGCACCCATTATCCGTGTCTCAATGTACGCCTAAAATTATTCTTACACTACTTACTCGCCAGAATCCGCTCACGTGGCGCACAAAGTATCTCTCTCTTACGCAGTTTTAATTCTCGTCACATAAATATCCTTTCTCTCTCTCTCTCACCCTCTCGTCCTATTTAATGTTACGTGCGCGCACGTATGTCATATGTGCGCGTGTGTTTATATTTTTTATAGTATATATGTATATACGTATATATATATGTATATATGTCTTTCTTTTCATCTCTTGCCTTCTATTCCTCCCCCTTGGCGAAATAACTTTTTTTTTACATATTTACGTGAATGCATGTACAGTTGTGTGAACAATAGGCGGCAATAGCTGGACAGAATGGCGTTCGATGACATTTTTTCGATTTTCATTTTTGAGGTGTTCTTCCGAGAACGGGGGATCGTGTCCGTGCATCCCCCTTTTTCTTTTATTTTGATCGAGCAACGCCTGGACTGTCTCATCGAGTAAAAAAAGTGTCGTTTTGTACATTAGTATATATTTGTGTCGTAGCGCGAGAGGAGGAAAAGTTATACACGTCAGGCGTGAGTTTGTACTGATTCATGGTATTCTTTTGGGGGAAAAATTCGAGCGCAGGTTCAATTATTTCACATCTCGAGCAGATTATTAATATTTTCTATATAAATACATAAAATTGTACTTTACGTGAGAAATCATTTTTGCATGTCTATAAAATTCAAATCTCACAGCTGTCATCGAAATTATACATATATCGATTTTACGAATATATATATATATATATATATATATATATATATATATGTCTCACACGTTTTATATAATAATTGTAGATGAGTAATTTTTTTATGCACAAATGTAGGTACACATTTAGTAGCTAAATATTCGCGCAGTTGTGTAATGTGTTTATTCATGTTGATTTGATATTCGTGTTTGATTTGAACCTTTGCGTTTACATTATATGCAATTACGAACTTCGTCTATTATACAACTACGGGAATTTCATCAGCAACCTTTGAGCGAACCTGCGCCGAGTTTCATTCCGATAGATATAACGCGCGATGAATAATGAACTTACGACGTCTCTACTTAAACTGAGAGAGAATCGTCGTAGATACAATGATCAATCGAATACACTTCGATCACACACTAAACATCTACGATTACATACTGACGAAGTAGAATTTCGAGTTTCGCTCACTTTTTTTCTATCAAGTTTATCGTTCGTTCTCTCTTTCGTAAAATCATACACAGCCGGGAAAACATTTTTTATATATAATTATATGTGTAATATGTCCATTTTTATACATAATTATATAAATTTATATATATATATAAATTGTAAAGGTTCATATATAATCATGTCAAATTATATATGAAACATATATATTTATATATATGAAGAAATATTTATTATATATAAATTTATATAATTATATATAAAAAGCACTTTTATCTAATTATGTATGGATATATTTCATATATAATTTTCCGATTATATGTATAATTTTATATATTTCTATATATTTTTATATTGTTATATATAAAAAATTTTTTCACCGGATACCTTCTAATATAAATTGATAGAAAAAAAATCCATTATTTTCGTACATATAATAATAAATAAAATGAAAAAATTACGTATCAAGATTATACATCTATTATATAATTAAAATTAAGCTTACTTTTGTGAAGATTTACATTATTAAAAATTAATTTAATTTAAAAAATAACTAATAAAATTAATTATTAATAAATTAAAAATAATAACTACAGATATTCGCAATGTAAATCTTATATTATTTTGTCATATTGTAAATAAAATATTACTAATATAAGAACTCCCTTGCTAGTAATAATGATTGATATGAAACGTTAATAACACAAATCACACTCTATATATAATTATAATCGGCTTTTCGTCAAACAACGAATATTTCGAAATTCTACTTTCGTAGTCGCTTGCCTGAACAATAAGACACTTAACAGTTTAGCAACCTCCGCAATTGACGGGAGGAGACCGGTTTTAATCCTCAACTTCCATGATTATATTTTGGATAAAAATCATTTTATACTACGGTGAGATCAATTTTGGTCCCAATAATTTAATCAAAATACAATTTTTGATTGTTATTGATATCTACATTCAGTTTCGTGCTATATATTTACGACAGAATATTAAATTAAACACATTTTGCAATAATAATTAAATAATATTAGAGTATAATATTACCAGAGAATATTAAACTATTAGTAATATAAATAAATAATGAATAAGTAGTCACAAATACTTATTCTTGGTTACATATTTCAATATAAAGTGTATTACTTTCTATATATTAAAATCCATTAAGATTACGTATCTTTTTCGCGCCAAAATTAAACTTTTGCGAAGATTCACATTATTAATAATTAACAATAATAATTATTAATTATTAATAATTAATCTAAAAATAACTACACAAATAAAGAATTAATTTTTCTTGATTAACAATTATTCTGAATTAATAAGAATATTTGCCATATGCATAGAGAGAATAATTATTCCTAATTAATGAGAATAATTGCCATACAAAGTTATATTCGGGATGTGTATTTACTATTCTGTCATATCGTAAAATTACAAACACAACATATATAAACGTCTGGAAACAGATTTGAGCTTACCGTAGTGGTTGAGGATTAATGTATGGCCTTTTACCTTTACGCACGTTACATCGTAATATTACTTGTTACGTATATAATAACACAATATACAGCGGGGGATCGGCGCTCGAAAACATTACGTCGTAATTGCGGGCGACCAATCATATGAGATCATGTAAAAATATTTCCCTCCCTGGAATTCCTTCCGGAAAAGAAGTTTTGAAAAGGATCCTCCTCGGAGAGAAAGAGAGCGACAAATTCGCGCGCCAAAATCGCGCGTAATTTCTTTCCTCCTTCTCATAAATCTTCCTCTTTTTCGCCTATCTTTTGATATATATATATATATGTATGCAGTCGTTACTGAAACGTGTTTATATACCGGAACCGGGCTAGTCGAGATCTCTCAGTTTGACATTTCGCGAAAAAATTCGTCGAACGTCACGTTGACCACAAATTCGAGCGAAAATCTTCTTTTTTTTCGGAAATCCGTTCTCATCCGGCAGAAAAAAAATCATCGATATGTCTCGTCTCTTCGTAAAACGGGAAGATCGGTGGTTTACGATCGTGTAATAAAAAATTTCGCGGTTACAGTCGAGGCGAGTGTCTTCATCTTGCTATAAATGAAGAAGAGGTCCCCGAAAAATTCTTTCTTCAGCCTGCCCCCTGTGGATTTTAGAATCTCTGCCTTAGAGTATTTGAAGATATAAAATCTACGATATAGAAAACAGAACAGATCTCGAATATATATATTTTTTCCCCACATTCAACATCGATTTGCTTGTCGTTTTTTTTATCGTTACTATATTATTTCTCATTATTACTGTTATCGTTATTAATGTATATCATTATTGTTGTTACTCATTTAGCGTTTTAGTCTTACCGATAAGGACACATATATTTACATATATATATAAATAAATTTTAAATATATATATGTATATATATGTATATTATATATATATTTTTTTTATATATTTCTTTAAGCTTACGTATAATATAGTAAATCTTTTTTACGTGTTATATCAGTAGAGCGCTTTCTTTTATGATACAGATTGTCATGTGTCGGCAATTTATTAAGTGCCGCCGATACGATGCGCATGAATGCACTCAATCTAAAATCCATCTGATCGATGACAGTCCAAGTAAATTTCTCTTTCGACCATTAACATTGCATTTAAAACTCGAAACGACATTATGATTTATTCGCTGCTTTTATTCATTCTTTTTTTATTTTATTGATGCAAAAAAATATAGATAATGCCACACAACGAACATCACTAGATTTATCATGCAGATTTATCTTCTTCGTCCATTTGTAATATCGGAACCTATATAGTATATATATGTATATAACACATTTTATATACATATATATTATATGTATATAAAATGAGAATTTTTTTTAATTAATTACTTTTGACTATTAACTGATTCCAGATTTCATTAAATCTGCTCTTTGCAATCGATCTGCTTCATATTTACTTCTATTGAACGCGCACTAGAATTATATTAATATTTAGCAAATTCCATCTCTAGGAGATTGATGACGCCTACTCGTGAAACTTTAATATGAAACGTCGATCACAACGTAATTGTGTGTCTTACTTCATTCCCGAGCTCGATTCATCAATACTAGATATTTCTTGCCCTGCAAGACTTTGGAAGAGCATTTTATACTATCGGAAATAACAATTCTTCGATATTGCGCGCGAGTCGCAACAGTTTTATATAAATATGAAATAAAAATTATATAATGTAACACACGTATATTCTCTGAAAGATCATAGAAAAAATAAGTAATGAGATGAATGATAATTTCTAATAATTCTAATATATTATAGTTAGAATAATAGAGTTCCATTAACACTTTCATATATTTACTCCAGAATATGGAAGCAAAATTCAACTAAATCCGAAGATTACGAAATATAGGTACCGTGGAAGCGTCGTTATAAAGTAATTTTTTTTTTTAATTTCAGAATTTCGCGAAGCAAAGTTTACGAAGATTCTTAATACGCAATATAAAATTTTGCGTTATTCGAAAATAATTGTGCGCATAAGAACAGCTACGCGTTGAATTATTTTTATTATTTTTCTTTTACCAACGTAGGCCAACATTTCACAAATCCGATCGTGATATTTGTCGGATGAGTGAAAAGTTTCTCTCGAGCGGGAAACTTCTAAATTTTTCAAACAAATTTTTTGTTTTTACCAAAGTTTTCCAGAAACTCTCTCGTTTCAAAGTACCTTCATCAATCAAATCGTAACCTTTATCAATATCAGCCTAATATCTCGCCCACGGATGATTTTACCTTGATGTCGCAGACAAAATAAACAGCTTGAAACACCAGACGCGATTGAATTATCGCGCAAGTATCGAATAAAGTTTTGCGCGGGTTCGAGCCGAGACTGTCTAAAACTCAATGTTCGTTGAGTGGTTCGGCAACGACCTTTATACGGTTTCGGAGCAATCTATCATAACACTTGTCAGGCCCCGCAGTGTAATTATCGACTCCTACATATCAAATTTCGTGGTCGCGGCCGGATGCTCTAATTACAGATCGCTATGCTCGCGCAAAAAGATCACGGTTGCTCTTGCGTAATATCCGATGACACGAAACATTAACGAAATAAGACTTTTCCTCTTGGGAAAATCTATCGATTAATCATCGAAACGTATTTTCAGGTACACATTATGCTTACGGCGGTTTTCGCCCTTTCGTTGACATTCATAGTCCGCAGTCGAAGCTCTCTTGATTCTGCACTTTCTTCTGGTATGCCTCCAAATAACTGTCGACGTTTCTGTATATCCCCGAATTCGCTTGGAACATGAGGGTCTCGAGGATACGCTCGTTTCTTATGGCTTTCGACGGCAAAACGATCTGGAATTACGAGAAAATGTGACTTTTTCGCGGTTTTTTAAATAAATAAATATTTATTTAATAATTTTATATTTTTTTTATATATATTAATATTCATATTGCCATTAAATTTTTTATTTAATCATTGATTTTATGAGCCAATTGGTTAATTTTTGCAATTAGTATTATTTTTATAATAATATTTTACATGAGCTATCTATTAATCGCACATACTATATCATTTTTATCTACGCTGAAAAAATGTATTGAATTTGGATAAATATTGATTTCAATACTACCTAATAAATTATTTATTTAAAACTAATAATATTGGATATAAGAAAATCCTTTTTCGCATTGCCATTGAATTTTTTATTTAATCATTGATTTTATGAGCCAATTGGTTAATTTTTGCAATTAGTATTATTATAATAATATTTTACATGAGCTATCTATTAATCGCACATACTATATCATTTTTATCTACGCTGAAAAATGTATTGAATTGGATAAATATTGATTTCAATACTACCTAATAAATTATTTATTTAAAACTAATAATATTGATTTAAAAAATGTAAAAAATATATTTATTTGATATAAGAAAATCCTTTTTCGCATTTTTAAAAATATAAGTTAATATTTAATAATTTAATATTATATATTAATATTTATATTGCCATTGAATTTTTTATTTAATCATTGATTTTATGAGCCAATTGGTTAATTTTTGCAATTAATATTTACAATAGTATCTATTATTTTTTATATAATATTTTACATGAGCTATCTATTAATCGCACATTCTATATCATTCTTATCATTGTTATATCATTTTTATTTACGCTGAAAAAATTTATTGAATTCAGATAAATATTTATTTCAATACTGCCTAATAAATCATTTATTTGAAACTAATAATATTGATTTAAAAAATAATTGTGAAAAATATTTATTTGATATAAGAAAATCCTTTTGAAAACAGATAAATATTTATTTGTTTCAAATAAATGATTTATTAGGCAGTATTGAAATAAATATTTATTAATTTAATAATTTTTTTCAGTGTAATCATTTAGATAATTTAGATTTTTTTTTAAATATTGTTTACATTTGTATCTGACTTTGTTTGCATCTATTTTTCAATACATACCCTGATTAATTCGTGTGGTGTTATCCTATATAATTTGAGGTCTCTACTGAGCCTCTCCATGATACACTTGAACTCCACCTTAGCGTCGAGCTTGGTCGATTTAGTTTTGATTCTATGCTTCGCCCAACTCAACATCGCCTCGAATTTTTTAATCTCCACCACTTCGAGGCTACGGCACATAATCATTTGTACCATCGACTCGCTTAGAGTAAGGAAGTCCGGGTTCTGGAAGAGCTGATAAGCCCTCGTCTCGACGAACGCGAGGATCATATTGACCAATTCCGAGGCGGATGTGTATCGCCAGTAGTAATTTTCGAGGGCACATAACATCACGCAGACGATCTCGATCCGGAGGAACTGCTTCGCGTGATGGAAGCACGCCTGAAGCAATTCCGGTAGATCGTAATGCTCCGCGGCGCATATCAGACCCGGTATGTTGCTACATGTCAGCGGACAGGATCCGGTATGCAAATAATCCAGTAGAATTCGGAAAGTCTCCGGATCGAACTCGATGATGTCAAACTGAAAAAAAAAAAATATATATATATATATATATAGGTTGAAAAATAAATATATATACTGGCGAAAAAAAATATATATATGTATAAATCGATCGTGTATTAATAAAAATAAAGTATATATATTTTTATTGATCAGAGAATTAATATTTTTTATTGATCAGAAAATTAATTTTTTATTGATCAGAGAATTAAGAGATATCTCATCTCGAGAGAAAATATTTATTTAATCTATTATATATTTACAAATATCGATTTTTATGATTAATCATAATAATTAGAAATTATTTCACTACTTATCTTTTTTCTATGATCTTTCAGAAAATATATACAACACGTTATATAATTTTAATTTAATAAAATGTTTATGATTTAAAAAAAATTAATTTAATAAATTCAATTTGCGTAGACTGTTGCGATGTCGAAAAATTATTTCTGATAATATAAAATGCTTTTGATTAAAAATTAAAAAGAAATGAAAAATAATGCAAATCAACGAAGAGAATAAAAAAAACAATTTAATCTTACGGAATGTAACATTTTATAATTGTTTACTACTATATAGATTGAGGTACTGTTCTGGTAAATTGCAATTTTACGCAATAATAACACGGGTTTTCTGAAAAACTGTTCTTATTTTTTTCTCATTGTCAGTATTGAAACACGCGTCCCACTCACCTCGGTCTGCGCTAATTTCGCTCTATCTACTTTCTGCGCGTCGGCGCAAACGCTGAGTCTCGGTACTGCCAGCGATTGAGCTGCTTTGTCCTTATCCTTCGTTTCTTTATCTGTAAAAGATATTTCTTTTATTTTAAAAATTTATCTACCTACTCCATCGCAAAAAATGAAGACTTATTGTTACATATAAATCTCTCTCTCTCACGCTAAGAGAAATTCATTCCTACACGAAGAGAATTTTTTATTACATTTTAAATTTACCGCAAAATTTACTACAAAATTTTTTCATGATTGGAAATAAGCCGAAAATTACCATGCTGCATTTTAAAATCTATATAAAATATTTTATATGTTTATGACTTTCTATTCTATTTAAAACACTTAAAAAAATCAGTGTTAATAAATAAGCTTTTAACATAATTTTTAATATATTAAACAATTTTTTGAATTTTTTACTATATATTTTACTAAAATTAATCAAACATATTTTATATCTTATTGCAGTAAATATAAATATTTTTAATATTGTGATAAAAAATATGAATCAGAGAACCTCTTACAAAATTCTTTCAGTATCACCATATTGTCCCACGATTACCACGATTTTCAGGATAAATTCTAAGAGAAATTTCTCTCTGTGTATATATGTACGTACAATATACGTATATATAAATTGTATCTGCGCTCGTTTAATTATGCATAACGTTTGAACGTAAGATTAAAAAATACATGATATATGAGGCACTCTGAGGTAACTCTCGGTTCTCCCTTAAAAACTGTGACACGTACTACTGCAATCTTGCGAGCTGGCCCATCGCTTTCGATCCTCGCTCTGCAGAGTGTTCCCGCTACCGTGCTTTCTAATGCTCCTTCCCCATCCTGCTGTGATCGTACCCAATCGTGAGAAGGCGCGTTTCACCATCGGTGACGAAGGGACACTTTTGGGCCTAAACACATCAGAACCAGTATCTCACAGAAACCGCGGAGCGGCACCTCAAGGTACGGAGACGGAATTTAGCGGGCGTTTTTTTTTTTCGCGCGGAAACGGGATTCGGTTCGGGGTTGGGTTATAATATAATCGGAATGGGGAGATATATAAAATTTTACGAAACAAAAACACAACGACGAAAGCTTATATTCTCGGTATTAACAATTTGTACCTGTCAACGTGCGGAGAATTGAAACAATTTGTGCGCATTATCGAATAACAGCGATACGAGCCTTTCATCAAATTATATTAGTATATATTAATATATATATATATATATATATAGTGTTGGTTATACAGTTATATTACATGAAATTTAGAATACAGAAAAATGGAAACGACAGCAATAATACTGCGGTAATACAAAATTATTGACAATAATATATCACAATTAAAATAAACGAGAAGGAAGCATATTTTGGTGATTCTTAATATTATTAATATTAACGAATAAAAATAAAAAGTGCGAAAAAATAGATTATAAAAGACAGATTATATTTAAAAATGAAGTAATATATCTCAGAATAATATTAGCGAGCAAAACGGCATATTTTATTCGTAGAATTTTTTTGTAATATAATTGCGATTTTTTTTAGCGATTGAAGCAAAACGAATTTGCCATAAGTCACATCGACAGAATATACTGCAGGTGCCTCTCAGAGAAGAGCATGCCACATAGAATTCAATAGACGATACATGGTTCCATTAAATTTATAATTCTTGCATTATATATATATGTATACACGGTAAATAAAGTAGATATATATATAAATAAAAAAAAAATAGTATACGAGATAATCATGCGGTGCCGTGAGGATAGGAGACATGGATGTGCCGTGAAAAGATACATATATTTACGATTCGATAATATATATAAATATAAAAAGAAACATTCGAGACACTGAAAATCGCAGGCATTTATCTCACCCTTCAAACCAATTTATTCTCATTAGACACATATCCAATTAATATCTCGCCAATTAAGATGTCGCATAATCCAGGTTCTTATGCTCAATCTTCGATCGAGCACACTCTAAGGAATCCGAGCCAATGTTCTCTCAAGTCGCCAATCGGTTTTGGAATCACGTGCGTTTCGCAAATTCGCATTATTTTGTCAATTTGATTTAATAAATTTTATTTGTGCAAAGCTTACCAGTTTTTCGTAACGACGCATTTCAAACTGGATTCATGAGACTTAACGGAGATAAATATCTCGGAGTAACAATGACAATATCTTGACTGTTGACACGTACCTTGGACTCTCCATATCGGGAACTTGTAGGAAATTCGAGCTCTTCGGCTTCTGCGGGCTGAGCAACGTCGGTGCCGGTCTCGCCAGCAACTCGGCAACCGGTACTTGCGGGCTTCCGAAACCCGCCTGAATTCCGTATAACATTTCTTGAAATACTCTGCGTAGGAAAGAAAATTTGCGAATAAATTTTCACACGCGTCACAATGTCAAATCTGAATAAATTGTCTATGCTTTGACTATTTTTTTTTTTAGCAAATAAAACTTTTATTAATCAGTCGGTCTCTCAATACCGGTTTTATTTATTCGAACTTATATTTTAATTTTTGTTGAGAATATTTCAAATTTTATTCATCTATAAAACATCAAATTAGTTATACAAATTTTTTGTTTTCTTTTAGAATTAATAAACTAATGATTAAGAAATTATTGAGAAATATCTTTGTGTACTAACAATAAGTATAAATAACCCAATTTAAATAAGGCACATTTTACACGTGTTATATGTTTCATTAAACAACTGAAGAAATGCCATGCTTTTTTTAATATTGGGAAGGGGAAACCAATAAAATCTTGACGATTTTGTTACCTGCTTCTTACTGCTAGAATCGCTCTGACGCCGATAAATCTAACTTTTTGCTTTTGTTGTCCCGGCACGAGGAAGGACACGTCAAACAGACTAGCGTTTAGCGTCACGTTCGCTGAATTATTGAGGAACACTCGGGTAAAGTCCTTCGCGAGTTGATCGTAATCCTCAAACTGATCTCGCACCGAATCCAACAACGGCGAAGACGGTCTCATGTGTCCAATCGGTCGCCAAGAACCTCGCCTAAGAATTAATTTAGTCCTACTAATCGAGCGCGAGTAAGTGAAGATTGGAAAGCTTTAAAATAAATCGGAATAAATTAACGAATTTATAGAGAGTAAATGTAAGAGTAAATATAAGAGTAAAATTAAAATTTACTTATTTGATTAAATTTAAATCTTAAACAGACAGTTGAGAGAAGTTATAAATTATACAGAAAATATTATAACGAAAGAATGTGTCGTAAAGACATGTATAAAATATGTAATATATAAAATATATATATATATGTAAATATATAAAAAATATATATAAATATATTATATATAAAATTATTAATTTTAGTATAGATTGCAGAAGTATAGATTGTAGAAGTAATATACAGATTGATAGATAGTATTGTGCCACATACTTTCAGATTATTGTCATATTTGTTTATTCACACAAATTTTTGTGTATTTGACTACGGCTACGTTATGTTATCTTACCTGTACGGTTTCGGAATCTGTCCGGTTTCCGCGTGATTAGCGAGATTCGCCACGATATCCTCCAACATTTGGCTTCTCGTTCGTTCCTGCATTCTCGCGAATTTCGGCGCGGAATAACTCGCTCTTTCACCATTTACGATTTTCGTTAACATCCACTCTCGAAACATTGGACCTGTTGCGCCCGGAATTCGATAGATAAGCCCAACATAGAAATTCTAAGCTGATATAATACTAAAGTACCCAGTCGATATAATTTTATCGTTCACATTGCTATATTATTTTCCATATCTGATCATTAAAAATTCAACATAATTAAAGCATAAGTATTATATATATGTAGAGAAATTCAAAATATCACATTAATGTCAAATTTACTGTACTTTGTTGCATATATAATGAAAGTTATATATCATATTGAGCAAATTATATAATTAAATTATCATTTAATATTCACGATGTCAATGATTAAATTGTTAAATAAAATATCTGTTAATTTGTAAAGAGATGACTCTGCAATAACTTTTTATTTAAATTTTACATATTAAATAAAATTAACTTTCTTTAATTTCCATTTTCATGCTCTCTCCAATTATTTGGTTTCTCAGTAAAAATCTAATTTCCGGCACCTTTTTCGAAGACGCTTTGCTCCCATAGATACGGTTTGTAGGCCCCAACTTCGTCTCTTGTAACCACGGACACTTCGTATCTCGTGATTTTCCGTTTTATCCGCGGACTCACTCGCACCAAGATAAATGTGTGCAAAAAGTGCGACTTGATGCAAGCTGGGCTGAAGCTCGTGTTGTCGGCTTCCAAAAATACGACACACACAATATCGTTGCCAATGTGTCTTTTTCTCTGGAGCTGCGCGTGCAAGAAGAAAGAAGGACTTTTGATTAAATTTCTGACAAATATTTTTTCTCGCGTAAAATTGACGAGCGAAAAATTTAATAAAAAGAAACGACAAGAGAGACTCACTTTTTGAGGATCGTGTTTCTCGTAAGGCAATAAGGTGGACACGTGGAACATTATCTCGATACCCCTCCAATTGGTGTAGACAGAATATAGGCCCGTCAAATCGTGCACGGTATCGAGACCGCCTTTGTACTTGTCGAAACCCTTCAGCCTGATTTTGTCCCCGAGAATCTGCAGGAATTCCTCGAAGAGCGGCGAATTATCGTTGTTATCGAGTATTTCCTCCTCGCTGTACTGACCTTCCTGAACATATATCACCCCCACCTTCAATTCAGACTTGATAAAAACTTGATCGAGCTTGAGAAGTTCTTCGGGCGTATCTGGCAATTGTCCCAAGGTCAGTGGCGGATTGATGTTTACCTCCTTGCCGAGACTACGTACCACTTCTTCTCGATTGTATCTGTAAAAAAATTGTGATTCGTGTTTCGCATGCTCTCGCAAAAAATAATTGCAATATGCGTTTGATTAATAATTTTGAATATTTTCGATTGTCAGAATATGAAACAATCAATGTATCATTATTAGTTACATCAAATGAAAATTACATATAAATTTGAAAAGTTTAATTTTCAATTTTCTTTAATTAAATAAATTTTTTTTAAATAAAAAGAATTAAAAATTAAATTTCAATTTAATCGTTATTTATCGTTACATCAAATAAAAATTACATATAAATTTGAAAAATTCAAGTTTTAATTTTCTTCAATTAAAACAATTTTTTTTAATTAAAAAAAAATTAAAAATTAAATTTAAATATGTTGGAAAATTTTTCTAGTCTTTATGTCGTGTGCTAGTTGTGAACAATTAAATTTTCTCGACGGAGAATCATAATTGCACAAATAGAAAATGAAATTTGGAAATTACCGATCGGCAAAGACGCAGCTGGCGGGAATAAGGCCGTGGACCGTGTAACTGATGGCCCTGACGAGAATTCTGAATTGATCCCGGCCGTTGAGCGTCTCCTGCTTGATACTGAGTATCACCGGTCCGAGATCCTCGTCGTTCGTGAAATAGTTCCAGTGCTCCGAGCCGTAGAAATATTTCTCGTACGTCTCCTGCTCGACCGAGGTGAGCTCGAAGCCCTGATTCTTCTCCCATTGTTCCTCGATGGTGGTCTTCTTCCGCGGCACGTCGTCCGTATCGACCTCGTTCTCCTCGAACAGGCAGAAGCTGTTGTCCTGCCGCTTCAACATCGACGAACGCTCCTCCACCGTCTGCTCCTCGGCCTGTTCGGGATCGGTGGCCTCGCGATCGCTCTCGCTTTCGTCCCATATCGTGTCCGAGGTGATCTGCTGCCGCGAACATTCGATCCAGTAGCCGGGCGTCGGTATCAGGTTGTGCGGAAACTCCTGACAGAATTCATCTACGGAAAAATTCATCCTCAAAATTCTCGCGTCTACTTCTGACTCGTCCACTATACCAGTGTTGTGCTTAGATGATTTAAAAATTAGCTAAATAAAGATGAGATAAAAATATGTAAATTTATCTTAAATTTTGTTTTACAGGGTGTCTAGCGATAAGGAAAATCTGGAAAATCGGACATTGTCAGGGAATTTTATAAATATGGAATTGTCAGGGAAAAGTCAGGAAATTATACTATTTATCGGGATTTTTTCCATTATTCTACATTTGTCTCAATAATTTGAAATTTTTTATTAAATAAATATAAACTTTTCCTTGACTGCCAGCACGCTAATTTATTTAAATTTTTGTTTTAACTTTTGAACTTTTCATTGTTGGCAAAAATATCTCAAGGATTTCATGATTTTATTTAATATTTAATTGATTTATCATATATTATAGATATATGCAAATTATATATTTGGAAAAAATAATACTAAAAAGTCAGGGAAAAAATTAATTTCTGGTCTTGGAAAATCTAAAAAAGTCAGAGAATTTTTTTCATTGAGTCTGCTGGACACCCTGTTTTAAATATATCTAGATAAAAGATAAAATTATATGACACATTCATCTAGATAATTTTCTAGATAATAATTTTTAAGACTGTTTAAACACAGTTATAAAAAAATATAAATTATAAAAAATATGTATTCATATTTTTATTTATAATTTTTTATCGTATTTTTATGTGCTATGATTCTAAACTAAAATTATCTAAAAATTATTCTTGATAATTTAGTAAAGATAATACATTTTTCATCTAAGATGCAGATATAGATAATACATATTTTTATTAACCAAAGATAAGATGACGCCAAAGTTTCATCTAGATGATCGTCAATATAATTTTATTTAGACAACAGCTAACACTGTCCACTACAGATTTTTACAATGAGTAGGGATGAACAACGAGCGTGGAGGGTCTTTACAATTTATAATTAGAATGTAACGCTTTGAAAGAGAGATGAACACTTGAGATACGTCTACATAATACATATATAAAGCCGCTTTCTGATGGTTTATAGAAGCTTCGCGAGTAGTTTTGAGATCAAGCTGTCCCTTTGAAAGATGAAAGATATTGGATATTAAACGAGATATATCGCTAAGGAGTGTAATCACCGAGTAGTAATATCGCAGTGTAAAAGTTATTACATTGTCGTGGTACATTGTACATAAATGCAATAATGCTCGACGTTTTCATCATGAAGCGCGCGCGCGATCGGGCAATTTCACTCAAAAGCGAGATTATCGTTAATTAAAGCCGCTCTCAACTAACATTCTTCCGGGTGAGGCAAATTGAAGGGCGACAGTGTCTTTGTTTTCCGCACATGCCAAAAGAATCGGTCGAATTATCCCCGAAGCGAAAGGGGATTTGTTTAGAAATTAGAGGAACAAAGCCGAATGAAGATAGATGGATGGTGGAGAGAAATATATATAGATATATATATATAGATAAATAGATAGAGAGTTGGAGCAAATAGAGATATCCGAAGACGAGCAGTTTGGTTGAAAATCATTAAGAGAGGAATTCAATCCGACAAAATAGCGCCTCGGGGGCGAATCGATCGCGAGGTTGATAAAGCCCGGAGGCGGAGAGAATCTTATTGTTAGAAGTGATTTTCCTTCCACACAACTCGCCGGACTCACATCCACTTAAGCACGTATCACCGGTAATATGTTTCTTCTTCTTCTTCTCTATTCCTAAACCTTCCCCTGAAACCCCCTGGCTGCCATTTCGCTTTATCAATCTTCGTCTTCCTTTCTGTTGCTCTGTTCCGTTTCTTGAAGCGCGGCTGTCGACGATACCGCAGTCGATTCACTGTAAGGTAGAACACCAAGCTGTTTGCAAACAGGGCTTGGTATTCGAACTTAGAGTGAGCCGCCCGCGGTGCCCTCCTCTTCTTCACCTCCGGGAACTGCGAATTGACCTAATTACCAAGGTCCTTTATCCGCCCGTATAATAATGGCCGTTTAATTTATATCTCACCGGAAATCCAAGTTTTGACATTTGCGCGAAACGGTTAGTGCTCTTCCTTCTCATATCTCCTTCGGTAATTGCGAGATTCTTTTACTCTCGAATTAAGGTAGATCATTTTTTCAGAGTAAGGCCCGTTCTACAATACGTCGTATGTCGCAGTCGGATGTCGGAACGTAAGCGATTGTCCAATGAGAATAGTATATTGTGTATCAAGTGCGGAAAGTTGACAATTGGTCACGAGTGCGAGGGATGACGCACGAGCCGAAGGCGAGTGCGACCACCCCACACGAGTGAACAATTGTCAATCCGATCGCACGCCGCCATCTTGCCGCGGCACGGTGGGGGAATAGCCGTGTTCAATACATTTCCTACGGCTTCAGCCGTATACAATGACTTTTAACGCGGCTGAGCCGTAGATAATGGCTTTGAACGCGGCTTAGTCACTCACCGCGTCGCCGCTAGATGGCGGCGGGAGAAATCGGCCACTTCCCGCACAGAAAACATGCACCGAAAGTGCCACTTTGTCTGCACGTGTAATACAAAATTTTTTTTTCGAAAAAGTTTACGCTCCGACATCCGACTGCGACATACGACGTAATGTAGAACGGATCTTAAGCTGGTCGCACACACTTTCTGTAAGACGTAACAGTAAGGTTTCGTTCTACAATACATTGTATGTCGCAGTCGGATGTCGGAACGTAAGTGATGGTCCAATGAGAAAAGTTCTTTTTCGAAAACAAAATTTTCTCATTGGATAATCGCTTACGTTCCAACATCCGACTGCGACATACGACGTATTGTAGAATGGGCCTTCGATCAATCGTGTTTCGTAAGACGTAACAGTAGCAGTAGAATTCTCCAACATGTTGAAATTGTTGATTGGTCGAAACCTTACTGTTACGTCTTACGGAAAGTGTGTGCGACCAGCTTTAAATGATAAATATATGCTGTAATCTCGGTGATAGAAAATTCGGAAATTAATAGAAGAAAACTTCGTTTTCATATTCAACGAGCTGAAGAGTTGAAGAAAACGCGACGATTATACTTCGCGTTTTTTTCTTTTTATCATGCGGTTCCATGCGAGGCGCGAATATATACACAGAGAGAATTTTTTCTTAGAATTTACTCTGAAAATCACGAGACGATGTAGTATTCTATTGATATAGTATTGATAGAATTTTATAAGAGTTTTTCTGATTGATATTTACAATAAATATTAATATCTACCGCAATAAGATATAAAATGTTCGATTAATTTTTGCTTGCTTCTGTGATATATTTTGAATCTTATATATTATTCTTTTCTTTATAATATATTTTTTTATATACTGAACCTTGCAATTAGATACTTTTAAACTCTAATTAAATAAATAAAAATTATATATAAAAAGACCAGTAATTCTTTTAACTTAAAAGATCATGAGCTTGAGAACATATACAAATATATCTGTAGGATAAAATAATCTAGAAAATCTGTATTTATTTAAAAATATAAACCAGTGATATAATTTGATAAAAACTTAATTAAATCTGTAAAAAGCGCGTTAAAATGATTAAATTATTAATTTTAGTTCTTTAGATTTTAATTAATATGTAGGAAATGTAGATATCTGTTTAAAATTTAACACAAATTTTTCAACATAGTAAATACTACATAGTAAAAATTTTATTACTGTGTACATATTAATATTTTTTATTACGACAAATATTAATCGGAGAAACTTATAAAATTTTTTCAATGCCAGCATATTGTTCCATGATTATCTTTCAGGATAAATTCTAAGAGGAAATTCTGTCCGTGTAGTACCGCGTCGGACTAACTAAGACTTAATATCCGCTGCGCGAATCGTGAGAGATAACTTTCGCACGTATAATCGCGTGTAATCCAAGGCGGGCGGAACCACCTGTAGCTTCGTCTCATGCATATGCACTCCTGTGCAAAAGTCGACGGCTTGCTTCGGTTCGCGACGTTATAAAGGAAAATGGAAAAAAAAAATGAGCGACGTTGACGGGAACGAAAGTATTTTAGTACTTACCGGAGCACGCCTGAGGTGGCAGCGGAAAGATCAAGGTCGTCGAGGACTTTCTTCTGGCAACTGCGCAGCCTAAACTTTGTGGTTTGAAGCTGCGCAACTGCTGCATGAAGTCCGAGCACTCCATCAGCGCCACGTCGGCAAAATGCAGATCGCAAAGTATCTGGTTCTTGAACCTGAAAAGCAGAACTACTTCTTAGTTTATTCGTCGTAAACAGATTTTTTATGGAGCTGTATATATTTTTATAGCGATAGGATCGAATAATATCAGCGACAATGATATATTTGTAGACCTATTATTCCATGAGAGTAAACTTACGTGTTCAATAATGCAATACACAAATAAAATTTAATAGGAAAAAATATTAACTATTATAACTAACTGAAATTTTATTATATCATATCTTAATTTTAGCTCGGTGGTAACTAATATTTTTAATTATAATTTAACGGACAATTTTTCGTTGAATTATAGCTTAAAAATATTAGTTATTATAGCTAAAATTTACGGACATCTAAAATTAAATTTATAGTAGCTAATATTTTTTTCGTGAATATTTGACGAACGAATACGATAATCGCGATATTTTTCTTGACTGCAACAATTGTTGCCTATCTTTTATATTTTTTAAATTAAATTTTTAATTATTGATTGTAAAAGTTATTAGCAATTGAGTGTTAGTATTTGTAATAAGAGTGCAATGGACGGATCGCAAAAATTAATTAATTGAATTTTGATAAGATTGCATCGGAGAAAAAAATTTTCTTTCATTTCTGACGCATTTCCTTTTGACGTAATAATACTTGTAAATTTAACGAATCTTATCACAACTAAAAACAATCAGAATAAATGAAGTTTTATAGGAATTTATTCGCTTGGTAAAACATGAATCCGTCTATGTCTCTTATTGGAATACGTCGACTCTCTTATCATCTCTATCGTTTGTTATTATCGCGCGGATTTTCCAATTAAAATCACGGGTTCACCAGAAACGTGCTGATCCATATCTGAATCTATTGATAATCCACATATAAATACAATCTTACAACTTATTTTTACTTTACAACTTATTCAAATTTTTAATAAAAATTCTTATTATATATCTGTCTCTTCAAACTTGTACAAAGCATTTACAAAGGAATGAAAATACTCATCTCTCGAAAGAGTTTCTTCATTTCTCAAAAGAAAGATTAATAAATATGAAAATATGCGCGAAAATTAAATTTCACATTACATTTAACAATTCCATTAAATATTATTAAATTTCTCACTTGTACCATAAATATTTTTCGTTAATGCAGCGATATTTCGCGAGTCTTAACAGCTAATAGTAATCGAGTGCCGCGGATACAAATGTCATGGAAAATGTATACTTCCTAAGTTTTATGTGACATTTCTATTTCTATTTTCTCCGATGGCCCCATTCGCATAATAATAACAATATAACGCATTAGCGACTTGCGTAAGGGTTGTAAAACGGCCGGTAATCTCGCATAATGTTCCATTAAAATGTCCATTCCAATTCAGCCTGCGTCTGACAAGATTCCGCATGTTATATGCACGACCTGGCTGCCGTTCGCGTCGGAATAATAAATATTTTTCAATAATCCATCTCTCTCTCTCTCTCGCACGTGCGCGCATTTTCTCGGAAGAATGATGTTATAACGCACTGTGATGCGGCGTTTTTAACGACAAGAGCTCGAGGATATAACGCGCCTCGTAACCGTTCACGGAATCCATAAATGGGTTCGTTTTGAATCTTCGATCCGACATCATTCGTCCTTTTATTCCGAGGGGAACCGTGTTATAAAGTCGCCGATTCAACTCTCGTTGCACGTGACTTACGATTAAGCGACGTGATGAGGATGGCTTTTTCCGATCGACTGAACCCTGCGATGATCCCTCGACTATGTGACAGGGCGTAAATGAATGAGGGGAAAAAAACGAAACGTTATCGAAGGAAAACGCGTTCATTTCAAGCTCCAACTCCATCGACCGTGTAAAATCGGGCCTTCAAATTTGCGGAAGTATAGTAGTTGTAGTTCGTGGTTTTTTGATTCGACCATTATTTTTTATTTTTTGGTTACACAAATTAAAAATTTGTTATTAAAAAAATTAAAAAAATAAAAAATTTAATTAAATTAAATTTAATTTGTTATTCTACAATTATAATATTAATGTGTTTACAATCGGATGTTATAATTTTAGGTCAAAAAGAAAAAAGTTAAAAAATTTTTACCAATCTTTTTTTATTTTTTTTTGTTTTTTTTACATAAAATTGTAACGTTCACAATTCGTTATTATTAATAGTACTTTAATTATGGAAAAGAATTTTTCAATTTGTATAGCCAATAAAAAGATTCATGGTCGAATTCGACTTCGCATCGATAAAATAGTGCTTTAGGATCACTCTTAAAAATAAAATCAGATCGACTTTTCCCGCGGAGATTTGTTATTAAAAAAAATAAAAAATTTAATTGAATTAAATTTAATTTATTATTCTACAATTATAATATTGTGTTCACAATCGGATGTTATAATTTCAGGTAAAAAACAAAAAAGTTAAAAAATTTTTACCAATCTTCTTTTAATTTTTTTCGTTTTTTTACATAAAATTGTAACGTTCACAATTCGTTATTATTAATAGTCTTTTAATTATGGAAAAGAATTTTTCAATTTGTATAGCTAATAAAAAGATTCATGGTCGAATTCGACTTCGCATCGATAAAATAGTGCTTTAGGATCACCCTTAAAAATAAAATCAGATTGACTTTTCTCACGGAGGAAACCGAGCGGAACACCGTCGCTTCGTGGAATTTTTTGCTCCCCTGCGATTCGATTAATCGACGAGATCAAATTTCGCTGGCGACGATTATTTTGCCATTTGATCGTCCGCCACAGTGTTTGTCAAACTCTATAATTTCTATGCTCGTCGCGTATGAGAAAAGGTAGTAAAAGTCAGACGGTGATGTATAGAACGATGAAAAAAGTGCCTTTCCCTGTCGCGCGATTCATTGACGATCCTTTCTCACCTCGGAGAACAAAGTGTTAAATCGTGAACGGAATCTCTGTACATATTGTATATACTCGTATATATGTCTATATATAGCACTACGTTTCAAATGCGTACACAGTTGCGCAGTGATTTCCTCGACTGACTGATTACATGAATTCATCCTGTTTTACATAACGAACGGTATAAATATTTTGAAATTTTATTTTATTTATTTTACTTGCGGATTACTGCAAATTTATGTTGCAGAGCGATATATTTTGTAATTTTTTTTAGCGAGAGAGAAAGAGATGCTACGTACATAAATTTTATTAGTGACAAATAGAGTCGTACTTTAAAATCGTATCCTATTCGAAAATGAAATTATACAAGAAATTACATTTATTTATTAGTCTATTTTACTTTGAGCGTATATCTGCAGAGATCGAGAGAGCAGTATTCCTCGCATCTTTTCATCGCGCATAGCTTGAGCAGTCGGCATCCAGCCTCCGAGACTGAAATATCCGGAGAATTCAGCGACGTGGAGCCGTTCGTGTCACGGATCTCGTTTCATATCCGTCGGCTCAATTTTTTTAAATATAGGACGAGATGTAGGGAGTCGAGCAAAATAGCGAACAGGATCTCTAATGATGTACGATTATTTACGATCTTCTTCGGCGCAAGCAGTGATTAATTTACGAACGAAAATTGTAGCTTTAATTATAGAAATCTGTTAAAATGACGCCATAAGGGTGGTAAAATTGCTCACTTTATGGTATAATAGTAATAATAATAATAATTTTTTAAAAATAGTAATAATTTTAAAATGTAAGATATAAAGAATATCTATATCCGGGAAAAATGTTTTATATATAACAATATAAAATTATATAGAAATACATAAAATTATACACATACAATCGCAAAATTATATATGAAATATGTCCATACATAATTAGATAAAAGTGCTTTTTATATATATTTTATATATATATATATATATATATATATATATAAATTTATATATATAAATATATATGTTTCATATATTGTATAATTTGACATAATTATATATGAACCCTTATAATTTATATAATTATGTATAAAAATAGACATATTTCACATATAATTTTACGATTATATGTATAATTATACAATTATTTATATACAATTATATATATAAAATTTTTTTTCCCGGGTATTAACTCTCTGTATATTCTTTTATTTTGTGGAAACGCATATTTCATTGTGCGAAATTAAACCGAAGATAAGAAATAATAAATCAACGAATAAATAATAAATGATAGTCTAAATTCTAAATGATGAAGACGCGAAATTGGTAACTCGGTAATTTTCCGGCAATTTCCAGAGCAAGTTGATTTATTTTTTCACGCATACTACTGATCGATATCATGAAATTTTATAAAATCTAAACAGAATAAGTAATAGTACATCGAAGATATTTTCTAGATTCGAAAGAATATCTCAAGATTTTTGAGAGAAATTAATTTTAAGTAACTTAATTTATACGGCATTATATTTTCGAAATGGAGTTGCATTAACGAGCAAAATTATTACACAGTCACGTCGAAAGTCTCGGTGAAATAAAAATGCAATGAGATAGATATGAATGCAATGAAAGATGAAGAAACGTGTTCTCCCGTGCTAATGAGATCAGGACAATACTGATTAAGCATAATGTCGTTTTACGATCTGTCGCCGGAAGCGTAAAACGTGCACCGAGATAGAGAGAGAGAAGCGCGATTTTTAGCATGATTTTAGACTCACCGTCTTGCCCGCTTTTGATTGGGTCCCGTGAGATTCAGGCCGCAACTGTTACATTTTAGGCACTCCTCGTGGTAATGGTTGTTGTCGTACAACGGCGATGGTTCTTGAAACAATAAACACAGAGAGACTTCAAAGTTCAATGTGTACAAAATGTGCGATGCTGAATGACAAACATTTTTACAGCAAAATGAGAAAAAGTCTCAAAATATTTAGAAAAATTCACATTCTTTTATTATTCAGTATTACAATTATTATTCAACATATTACAATTATTTAGATAATAAATAAATATAAAATAACTAATAAAAAATTATATTAATTTTACAATAAATAATAATTCATTTAATAAAATTAATAAAATAATATTCAAGATGTTTTTCACGAGATACGGACTTTTTTACATTCGGTAAAGAATGCCGCGTTCATATTACGTCTTGCGAAAGTTTGCGAAACATTTATATATTCTAAATGCATTATTTGAGCACACAATAATTAAACAAGTTTCTTTATATACAATTTAAACAGACTTTTCCTTTTGTTTTTTGCATTCTTCGCGTTCTAATGTTTCCAACGCATTACGTAATATCCTTTTTTCTCGTCATCGCCATTAAAACCGTCGAAGAAATTTGTCCGTCATTTCGTTTTATTTGCATTATTTTCCTATCTTCTTATTCTCTGCCCTTTCTCATTTTCCCTCTCTCTTTCAATCCGGATCCTTATTTAACTACCCTTCTACGAGGTTGTGTTGAGTCGGGGTGTGGTCGTCGCTTTCGTGATAGCACACCATAGCACACACCGACACACCGTAAGAAGGCCGTAAAGAGTTCCAGCGCGCGCCAGGCATGGAATTTTGATATCGAGAGGAAAGCGAATGTCGCGTCGCGTCGGGAAGGTTTCGTCGTTTCGAGGTATTCGTGACCGCCGCGATATGTAATTGCACACACGTACGCACATTAATTCGGGGATTTATATTATTTATATTCCAGAAAATTAGACTTTGACTTTATGAAACTTAGGATCAAGCTGAATAATTTTTGTGGAGATCTTTATTTCGATGTTATAATGAAAATTCTACGAAGGGTAAATTTTAGTTTTTTGCCATTATCTCAAAAACTATCAATTTTTCGAGAAAAATAGTTATTATCAAAATTGTATCTCATAAAATTCTCTACAAAAAAGGTCATTATACTTTTTTTCGTACAACTAATCGTTTTTGAGTAAAACGCGTCTGAAGTTCGTAAAATATAGTCTAAATATACCAGAAGTGTGCACATTTTCTCTTTCAGATTTAATTTGCTCTATATTTTCGAAATGGTTAATTCCACGAAAAAAAAGTATAGAGTTTTATGAATATTTTATGAGTTACAATTTTGATAATAACTATTTTTCCCGAAAAATTGATAATTTTTGAGATAATGGCAAAAAACTAAAATTTATCCCCCATACCAAAAAACGCCCTGGATGAAATTAAGGGTACTTTTCAGGATTTCATTAGAACATCGAAATAAAGGTCTCTACAAATATTCAGCTTGAGTCTAATTTTTATGAAGTTTTGCCTTTTTCAAGTCTAATTTTACTGGGGACATCTCGACATGTTAACATAAAAAGAAAAAATGTCTCACAGCATTTAAATACTAGAGATACTTTAATCTCTATTTTATATATGCATATACCATACATGATTGAGAGAAATTATGTACGATAAAATATAGAAGTACAGTCTTATGATGTTATATATAAAGATTCATGAGAAATATAGAGAGAGAAATGCTCTTTTCTTATTATACTTTTTATTAAAAGAGAAAGATCTGGAGATTCTTAGAGAAAAGCTTGGATATTTTGTGTGTTGAAATAAATATAAATTTTGATGAAACTCTTGAAATATAGTATGTAAAACATTATTATTATTATTATTATATGAATATATATGAAGCTATTTTTTACATATTTTTCGCGCATAAAAGCCAATTCTTTTTTGTGCATGAAAATTGTCATTTTTATTCAGAATCACTTTTGACATTTTGTACAACTGCAATTATATCCAATTTTGTGTGTGTTTATATATCTACATTATTATAATAAAAATGTTCACTAATGGTTAGCAGCATTTTTGATATTCCAGTTTTCGCAGTTTTACTAAATTATGAAAAATGTCGAGATTTCGTATATGTCATAAAATGTCCCTTTGTATATATATATATATATGTGCTTTATTAGGATATATTGTGATTCCAGAAAATTAGTATTGTTTCAAGTTAGACATATTTAATAAATGTGACTTCTTTATTCTCTCATTCTTTCTTTCTCTATCTCTTTTAATCCTAAACTTGGCGAAACTGAAAACGTGAGCTTGAGATTATATTTATAAGGAAAGAAAAATGTCACGGAAATAAAATTTAGTGAAATAAACGATAAAAAATTCAAAAATATGACTTATGTCTTTCAATATAAATTTTCTAAATATTATTATCTAAATAATAAAGAAAATAAATAAACAAATATTAACTTATAAAAGTGAAACTTTGGGAATGATACGTTTTTAAAGGAATCTATGAAGGAATCTTGATAAATCTCCGAATTATTCACGATCTCTTTTATTCCAACTTACGACCGTGTAAAAGATTGTATTTTTCGGAATCGTTTTATAAATCAAGATCATTTCAAAAGATCTATTCTAGAAACCTGGAGTATTCTATATATTATTCTAACACCCTACCCGCATACGAAGTATAGATATTCTGACTCACTGTTTAACTTGGGTCGTTAGAAAGTTATATATAATATATAACGTAGTTGTAATTATATATTTTAATGATGACGATGTGTTTCTTAAGAACATATATAGGTACCTATAAGGAACTCCTTTCCGCTAATTGAAATTTGATGATCTAAGATCGTAATGGGTATCTTGTATACACAATATATTTGTTTTAAATTAAATGAGAAACTGCGTGAGAATTAAGTTTGACTCAATTTTAATTAAAACAATATTTAACATTATTAAATATGATAATATAATATATATCGTATAATATTTCTCTAAACATAACATATTATTATAATATGTACATAAATATAAAAGTTTACAGTTATTTTCACACAAAAGCTCTCTCTCTTTATTTTATATTATTATTTTATAGTTAAATAAAATACGGATGCCAATAAAAGTATTTTGCTCGTATATCTTAATTACATGATTGTTGTAATTTATAATTTTATATTTTATTTTTTTATTTTAATTTTGTTCACATTCAAGTATCCAAGATACATTAGATACATCAAAGAAATTGCATCAAATACGTTTCGACTATATATTTAATGTATGAAATAAACTATACGCTTAACGTATGAAATAAATCTTACTAAACGATGTTACGTTGAATGTGCTCGAAATGAGAACGCATTATAATATTTACGCATTAATATTTATGCGTCGGTGAGGAAAAGTTTCGAAGACACCGATGAATCTGAAATATAAAGTAGTTACGTCGCAACAATCTCGTTTTCAAGTTTTCGCTGATCGTAATATATTTCGTGCAAAATATCCGGATGACGAACGAAATTATTTCGCGGCATAACAGTATAGCACATGATATGACAAGATTACACTGGATGGTATATTACTTTACACACACAACGAAGCGGTTATTATTCTTTCTACACACTCGATTTACGCCACCATCTGATAAACTTTACATACGCAAGTTTTATATAGGTAAGCTTTAAATTCTTCCCTCTCTCTTTCTGCGCTACATTTTAGGAATCAAAATAAATCTTGTGCTTTGCATATTTTTTTTTTTATTATCGACGAAGAATTTATAGAACGATTTTATAACGATTGTTACGTAGTCCACATGAAATTATTGACACACGTCAATTTCTCGATTGAGTGTTCCAATAATACCAAAAAATATTAAAATATTAAAAAATACTAGAAGTACTAAAAATTCTTGATAGCGTTCCAATAATATTAAAAAATATGACACAACAATTTTTAGCGATTGTAAAAATTAGATCGAAAGAGGTAAAGCAAAGGAGTAAACTTTCGCAAAAAGTCGGAATATTAATCCGTAGTTTTTTTTAACACGTGTCGATATATTTTCTATCGGAAGAAAATGTTTATGTACATACATTTCGCTTTTTATTTCGAAATGCGATGCAGATCTCGTCTAAAATATGCAACTGTTAAATCGAATTATTAACAGATGCGATTCACGGGATTCGAGATAAAACGAGTGTTTAATAGCGATCTTGAGCAGAGATTCGAAAAGTAAAGGAGAGACAGCCAAGAGTTTTACCTACATAAGTCGCGATGATCCTTTTAAGGTTCTCGCCTACAAGCGATTACACTATTCAAGAGAGTTCTTATTTATACATTCATTGCAGGATAAAATATCGGTGCATCCGAGAAAATGTCAAGTAACGCGTAATGAATAATATTGAAAAAAGAGAAAGAGGGAGAGAATTGCGATACTTCATTCGAACGTTGACGAGAATGTAACTGAAAGTTTGAAAACGGAAAATAAACAATGCAAATAAAAATAATGCGTTAGGTGCGAATAAAGTTGAACGAAGTTGTCGTCTCGCCATTGCACCGGATATATTTGAATATTACACCCGAGTTGCGTGCTTGTTATTCCAGACAGGTTTTAGTAACGAAAGAAAATAATAGTGTGCACGCACGAACGCGCTGATATTGACGTAGCTTTTATCAGTACTTTAACCTCGTTTGATCCCCTGGCTCTTTCTATTCATGAGAAAATAGGTAACTGCAACGTATTTCCTTTGCGCGAGAATGAAAATATGAAAAAGCAAACATAAATATATTTCCGGAAAAAAAATCCTCCAGCCTAAGTTAATTCGCAGCGATTATCCATCCGGCACAAAATATTTCGAATGTTTTCAAAAAATATTTCTAAGTATTTTCTATAAAACATATTTGCATAAAAAAACATTTTAAAATGGTTTTAGGAATATTTTAAAATGATTTAAAAATGTTTTGTGATAACATTTTTTAGAATATTTTAAAAAACTTTTAAAAATATTTTTAAAAATGTTCTTTATCGCTCAGATAATATTTGATATACATATTTTTGAAATATT